TTATTTGATCCACCATGTGGCCCAGAGCGGCCAGAATTGGGCCAATTCGGACCCATTGACATGATTGGTTGAATGTTGCACATTTCCAAAAAATTCGCCTCCAATAATCAAACGTGGCAATGAAAAATCCCGTGTGTATAAATGATGTTTCCATGAGAACCTCCATTTTGATCGGGGAATCACTGCTACGGTTTTTTTGCTCAAAATGATGATAAACGCCAAACGGCACATCACGCTTCCCATTTGCCAGAATCGCTTATATCAACCCAGGCTTTTATAATAACCCCCCGGAATTGTGTACTCGCTGAAATTTCATCTTCATGGACCCTCAGCACTTTTTTAAGGGTTACCATCCAAATGATTCAAGCGGGACTTTCTAACATGCGACTGACATAAGCTCATCTGGCCGCATGGAGCATTTCCAATCCCACGACTGCTATAATGATCTATAATGCAACACGGGACTTGCCCAATTGCCCAAAACACTAAATCACCGCTATAACCATCCAAGTTGATGTAGCAATGATTATCAATTTTCCGGTAGCTACAGTCTTTTATGGCTGAACTGGTCACCATGTTAAAACCCATACTTTTTGGATCAATCCTCGGCTTCCACACGCCAAGTTCCACGCACTCAACCCCTGCAAGTTCTGCAGGGAGGGGTTGGCACCTGGGCGCTTTGACAGGGAGACAGAGACAAATAAGACAAGGGTATATATGAAGATGTATATGTATATATGTGTGGGAGAGAGAGAAAGATAGAAAAAAAAACTTATTAACTGGGGATTAACCTAACGGAAAAATCATGCATTAACATGATTAACTGAGGTGTGTGAGATGTATGGGTAAATCATATCTTGGATATGCGCGGCTGTCAAAACTCGTTGTATATGAAAACGGACATCACCATAATTTGGAAAGGCCCGATCGCTAACCACATTTGCGGAGCAATTTTACCGTCATGGTGCAGTATTGATTTACAGGGGGCATCGGTAAGGGTAACTGCGGCTCAAGTAGATGTGATTCATTGTCAACCACAGGGAATTAACACACAGTATCAAACAATATTAAACTTGGTGGTTTTCGCCCCTCTGGAAAGATTATTGTAGCCATTGGGGATCACACATATTCTTTAGCAAAATGTCAAACCACCAACCACTTAAGATGAAGGTGCCCTGCAATGATCCAAAATCAACAATTTCAGTATTGAAACCTATGGCTTTGGGATCCTTCAATTCCAGAAACCCACAAGTAGATAGATATAATATAGATATAAATGATATGAGCTTTGGAAAAGAGAAACACGCGGCAAAAAAAAATCCAACCAACCATTTCATGGGGATATATATACTTATATATACAATAACCGAAGGAAGTTTAGAAGCCAAACTTCAGACAATATAGAAAGATGGAAAAGCAGAGGTGGGAGGAGTCAGAGAAGAGAAGATAAGAAGAAAGAAGATTAGAGAAAAGAAAGAGTCAGAAGAAAGAAGATGCAGGTGCGCGAAAAGGTAGAAAAGTCACGAAGCACAGTGTTTTTTCAATGTTTTGTGGGTCCGCATGGTCGAAAAGTAGGCTCGCTAAAGCAGCGGGTGCGGAGCCATTTGGTCAGATGAGAGATGAAAAATTGTGCGCCGTTGTGGCGCGAAGCACATTTCCAAATCAAAATGCTAAAAGCACCTGAACTTGCGGTCTCGGAGCACTTTTTGAAGTTCAGATGTCGAAAAAGTGCACTCCATTGTGGCGCGAACCAAGTTTCCAAGCCAAGATGTACAAAACACAACGCGTTCGTACGACTTTTGGACGTTCACGACACGACACGACACGACAACGGCAACAACAACGACGACGACGACGACGACGACGACAACGACAACAACAACAACAACAACAACTACTACTACTACTACTCCTACTACTACTACTACTACTGCTACTACTACTACTACTACTAATACTACTACTACCACCACAGCTACAGCTACAACTACAACTTCAACTACCACTACACTACACTACCCTACACTACACTACATTCCGCTACACTACGCAACACCACAAGTACAAGTACAACTACAACTACAACAACAACAACTACTACAATTACACTACACTACACTAACTATACTACAGTAAACTACCCCACACCACCCGACACCCTACTGCACTACAACTTCTACAACTACATATGCAAATTGACTAGGCTACATTGCACTACACCAATCACACTACACTACACTACACTACGTTACACTACACTACACTACACGAATTAACTATAAACTACACTACACTACTACTACAGCTACAACTACACTACTTTACACTACGCCACGCTAGACTACACCACAGTATACTACAATATACGGCAATAAAGTGCACAACACAACTGTACACTACACTCCACTACATTTTAGTATATACTACAATAATTACACCACACAACGCAACTACAACTGCAACTACACTACACCAATTACACTACAACGCCACTACACTACACTACAACTACAACTGCACTACACCACACCACATCCAGCAGTTGTGGGTGACGTGACCACTGCAACCACTGCAACCACTCCAAAACACACAACTCCAACCACCTTTCGGTCCATCAGTGGATTCGCTCTGCCATCCATGCATCACAACAACTCATCTCTCCTATAGTGTCCTATCTTTGAAACTTCCGCCACCGCCTTGTGCGGTACTACTGGTATAAAACCATAAAATCGACACTATGATCTGGGTTTGTCCAATAGTGCTATCTAAAACATATATGCCGGCAGTAAATGGACATATTATACAATTACATATACATACGATCCATGGAAATTCGGAGGGAATCCCAATGTCAAACAACCCCAAGGGCAGCCAATAAGCTGCCACCGATTTCTGATGTCATGGCGCTCCTTCTTCATGGCCAAACCCCTTTGGGGTTGGCGGCCAGCACTTTAAGTGGAGGCCAGGGTGGCCATGCCCTAAAACATCGAAACAGATCATCGACCAATGTCAGAGTAAATGATAGAGCATTTATATATATATGCCCAACAAATAAATGTCCAATAAATGGATATCAATGGATATAAATATAAAGTTGATACATGAATCTGCCCAACTCCATTTATCAACTTTGACATGCTGTAGATGGAGTTGGTCCGATTTTGGGATGCCGTCTGCACCATCGAAGTCAAAGGTATGGCTACTTGGGGGCGAGGTGGGTAATCGAGATTGAGCCCATGAGCCCATGTAAGAACTTTATATCTATCTATATATATATATATATATATATTGGGGATAATGCATGGATACAGATGTGAATATTCATGCAGCTCATAAGCATTCAGTAACTTGATCTGGGTGAGAATATATGTTCATAATGCACTTCCTAGAGATGTATATGTATATGGAGGTTTCCTGAAATGGGGGTACCCCAACTCATCCATGTTAGTAGGATTTTCCCTTATAAATCAGCCATTTTGGGGTATCCACATTTGTGGAAACCCCCATACAAACTTACAAACTTGGTACCGGCGCCAATAGCGCCCCCTAAGAGTTTGAACATTGTTCAAAATGGCAAGAGCTCAAAACCTGGATTTCGGAGCATGTTTATGTGGAAGTCAAAATTTCAAGGCTTCGAATTTGTTGGTATTTGCAAGAAGGCCAGCCTTTTTTCATTTTGGGTCAGTGGAATTGCAGTTTTCAGGACTCTTAAAGAAAACAACTTTCTCACAAGAGATATCTTATTTGAAATGAAGTCATCGTTAAGTAGCGCAGCATCATCTATGTTACATGAAGCGAACTTCAAGTAGCATAACACTTGATATATTTGATATTATATTAACGTTACGCAGCGTAGCATCATTTATGTTACATGAAGCTAACTTCAAGTAACATAACATCTTAATTGGAACTAAGTTAACGTCAAGTAGCGTGCAACATCTATGTTACATGAAGTGTGCTTGATTTAGGGTAGCATTACGTATGTGACAAGAGGTTAGTTTGAAGTAGCATCTCATCTTATTCGAACTGAAGTTCACGTGAAGTAGCGCAGCATCTTGTATGCAAGCGCTATTGAACGTTATTGCACCCCCACCCCCCCCCACCCCCCACCATCCCCCATCCCCCACCACACCCGAAACCCCCACGATCAAAAGCAAGTAGCGTAACATCACGTATGTTAGTTCAGGTCAGCGTCAACACTGAGAGTGCAAGACATGTGTGCAAGTGCAAGATTTGATTAAGCAGCATATAATGATGTATGCTAGTTCAACTTAACCTGACATAGCAAAACAAATCTATGTTAGGAGAAGTCAACATTACATACCGTAGCATAAATATATAAATTTCATTAGACGAAGTCACCTTTCAGCACCTGCACCTTACAAGCAACGTCAAGTCACATTGCATCTTCTATAAATGCAAATGCTATTAAACGTTATTGCGCCCCCCAACCCCACCCGACCCGAACCCCCTAAAAACTAGAAACATGTGTCTTCCTATGGGGTCGCTAACAACGCCGCTAGCACAAACTTGCTCTCACCCCAACCGGTTAAACGAAAGGCTCAGGAGGCTCAGACTCAGAGAGAGTGAGTACAGAAAAGGAGCCACCTCAGCCCAGGGCCCCAGTGGATCCAGGGGTGGAGGAGCAACACATAGGGGACATCTTCACCCAATAATGACATTATGCTACGATTCATTGTGGTTTTATAGATATATGACGTTCTTGTGGTCATATACACATGACATATATATATATATTTATGTATGCATGTATGTCTAAGAATGCAGATGGCATTGCCAATTATTATTCATTTTAAGGTTTGTTATAAGTAACAAAAACGGTGTGCATTATACAGGCATACAGCGGGGCCCTGAGTCCATGGTGCTGGAGAAATGACCATTCCTTTCTCTGCGAACAAAGGGCGGCTTTCGGGGATTTATGGATTTTCATCCCCTAAAACATGTGTTCGATTTTCATCCATATTATCCATAATATTTGCTCAAAGAGTTCCTGCTGACCGTTGACATCCGTTGACCCTACACCCAGGTACGCTGATTGAAACGGCAGCCCCAGAGTGTGGCCGCACATAGCATTGTGCGTCCAGGTAATCGCCTCCGCCTTGTACCACCGGCAAACTGGATGAGCCACCAGAACCAGGCGTTCCCGGGAACTTGTGGCATTTGTGGTTTTGCCAGCCTGGCGGAAAGACTTGAATCCCATGATTGTTCCCTACAAGTATGGTGCTTTTAACAGCATCTACAAGCTCCATCATACACAACTCTTTGTGCAGCTTGGAAGGCGTATATATATATATGTATATACTGTGTATACATCACAGCCCCGTCACGCCAGCAACAGCCTCCCGAGCCAGGATACCACTCGATTCCTTGGCTTTGCTTGATCCAACTGCTGGCATCGCTTCATCGAAGCCCTGATTTGGTACCGGATCATAATGGATCTATTCATGGTCCCGAAACGAAGAGAATTCAATGAGGAGATTAGATAAAAGGTTTGCCCAAAACTAGGGCATCCCAAAAATCAGTCACTTTAAGCCTCGTGCCCCTCCAAAAATTTCAGATGATTTGCTGCAACTATACTTGGTCGGAGGTTTCAACCCTCATGACGAATGTGCTCATCATCTAAAATGCGCTTGAAAATCAAACAAACATGTTTGAAACCAGCCAGGTAAAAATAATGTGGTACATGGCTAAACCAACAATAATCCATCTCCGCCTTCCAATGACCATAGATTGGCGGGCGGGTTGTCAAATAATCCGCAAACCGTAACTTTGTGTTATGACTGTATGAGATTGTATGAGTTGGCTTCATATCCCACTGTATATTATATATATAGTGTAAATATACAACTGATATATATATATATATATAATTTTCATACTACCCGACATATGCTTGGTTTTAGCATGTTTTAGCATGTTTGTTGTAAAAAAACAGTGACACCGTGCATTTATGTGCCATGGTCACATGGCATACCGCAATTTCCCTTCGCGAACCCAGTGCGATGATTTCCCTAGTAAACATGGCGTTGCCCACCGCAAACTGCAACAAATTACCAGAGTAAATCCAATGATTGTTGCAATCTGAAAATCATGTTAAATCATCATTCTTAAGAACCAAATTTACCAAAGGATCCACAGTGATCCACAGGGTAGTCTTGCGGCCAGGATTCCAGTGCAACTCTCATTTAAGAGGCACACTGCTTGGCACGCTCCCAGTGACTCAGCACTAGGTACCGCATCTGCCATCACGTCAACACCGTCACGGTCCTCCAGTGCCGGTGCACCGTGACGTGATTTTTGCGGATCCCCCGTTCCATGATAAACCCAGGTTGGAATAGCAACCTCCCAAAAGCGGAAAAGAACATCGGCAAGCTTTTTACACAATTTATCATTACGTACCACAATTCCATATAATTTCCCAACCAGAAAGTAGACCATACTAAACCAATTTTTTGATATTTTTGGATATTTCCCCTTACCAATCATCAAAAAAACGGACCAAATGGTCGGCCACAACAATTTTTCGGCGTCAATTCGGCAGCTGTCCGTACAGAAACCGTCAAAATGCGTGAAGCTGTCTGGACCGAAGCGAAGGTAACACTGCGCATCCAAGTAGTTTCCACCACCCTGGGACGGCCTGAAGTTACCGCCGTGGGACAAGGTGGAAAAAAATGGAACAAACACATATCACCCAACAAACCATCAAGAAGTCACCCGACTCGGTACATCAGCAGAAAGGAATAACTCATATATATTCACATATAATTTATCGCATGCCATGAATTGCCATCATGTGATTCATGTGACATGTTGGCCTCTTTTTTTGCCATGAATTCTCTCCCTTCACACGCCGCCCTCAGGCGGATCCAAGCGGCATCTCTGTGGAGTCACCACGTCCACTGTGGGTGGATCCAGGTGCAGGTGGATACCTCCAACATTTCACCTCTCCATATCCCCTAGTCTCTGGATACCACCTGAGAGGCGGGTGAAGCGACGAAACATTGCGAAACCAAGATGGAGACTCGGTGTAACCGATGGGATGATAGTTGAGATGATGGATGATGGCTTGTCTTTTGGGGGTGAGCTTGACAATTTATAGGTATTTTTGGTTTTTGCTCATGGTTCTGAGGGATTTCAACGACTTGCACCAATCAAAGAAACAACCACATCTAAGCCCAGGTACACAATAGCTTCGCACGAAAGGTCCTCAGAACAAACCTCGGGACTGTGGGGCCCGAAAACAGCAAACATTTTGCCATGAGATTCATCACGTCTGGTGGGTGCATTACTGCGAAAATGTACACGTAAACTGTTTAACTTTAAGCATGGGGAAAACGGATGAAAAAGGTACAACAATATATTTGAATGTTTCCTGTAATACGGGTACCCCCAAAGCATCCAAAATTCGTCTATTTGAGTATTGGAAGCCATGTGTTTTTTGGGTAACCATGGGTAACCCCCATTTTAGGAATCCCATTTTAGAATTTTTTGGAATCATCCATGATATTTGTTGATCCAAGGGGGGTACCTTCAAACATCCAAGAATCACTTTGGCAAGCTTCCAGTGTTTCGGACAAGTTCACTGGATTTCCCTGGACATCGGTTCCACTCCTGTCCCTGACAAGGCCGGCAAGGCCGCTTCACCATTCCAGGAAACCACCGTTTGGGCCGCCAAGTAATGAATAGATCCGATATATTCCGATCTTAAACCAAGGTTTTGATTGCAGGTATTTCATCTTTGGAAGGCGTTAAAAGGATTTAATTCAGGTACATACAATGCTGATTTGAGGGACCACACAGGAAACATCCGCAACAACCAGAACTGGAAGGATGGATGGATGGATGGATTTGGTGCAGTACTGTTATGGAATATAGCTATGGCAGCTATGGAATGTACTGTCGTGAGATGACTTCAGGTGATGTGGTGTCATGTAAAGCCGTGGAAATGTAGTGCGAGGAAATAGAACGGAATGTCTTGATATCTGCAAAATGACATATCAGAGTAACAAAACCCTGCCTATTGGAAAACAAACAAGTTTGCGCAGGTATGGGGTATGGGCGACGATGTATACATTGAGACATACATTTTTTAAAATATATATATATATATAATTGTTATTCTAGATCTGCAACTATTATCTTGATTGACAACTGCAACATGTACCCCCGGGGATTAGCCAGGACAAGAATGTGGTGGCACCACACGTCCTGTTACCTCCCTCACACACATTTAACCAACCACCAAGAAATGACGACTGTCCACCCAGTGCATCCCAGTGCCTGCCAAACACTAGACAGTCATATATATATATATACATGTAAAACATACAGTATATACATAGCGAGAGGTCATTAAGTATGAATGAACATGAACAGAAACATGGCTCGAGTCTGCGACAGAAAATCAAACACCCCCAGAATGTTGTTCCCTCTTCGTCCTGCCTGCAATAGCCAGTGAAGTGCTGCCACCGATCATTTCTGAGTCGTGCTACTCCTCCAAAGCAGTGCCGCACATAGCATTGTGCATCCAGGTAATCGCCTCCGCCTTGTACCACCTGCATACTGGATGAGCCACCAGAACCAGGCGTTCCCGGGAACTTGTGGCATTTGTGGTTTTGCCAGCCTGGCGGAAAGACTTGAATCCTCGGCCCCTAAAATGTGTGAAGACTTTTGGATTCCTGTTGGGTCACATCATGTTGGATCCTTCCCTTCATAGCCTTCATATACCCTCTGGTAAACTAACATAGCTATGGAAAATCACCATTTTTAATGGGAAAATCAACTATAAATTGCCATTTCCAATAGCTACGTTAAATTACCAGAGGATATCCTTTTTTCTTGCCTTGCTGTACCAAGTTCTCAAAGGGGCCATTGATCATCGCAGGCCGTATCAAAAAATGATTGGCCAGGCTCTCCCAGTTTGATGTGACTTCAAGTTCATAGGCTGGCATTACACCATACTACACCTATTCTTCTTATATAATATATATATATAATTAATTAAAGGTGTTTCTAACTGGGTGTTTCCCACTCTGATGCCAGTTTATATTCAATAAGAGCCGACAATTTACCCGTAAATGCGAAAATTGTCCCAATGAATACCTGAATTTCCTCAGAAATATCCAAAGCTATGAAATGCTCAACTGCACAGCTGCTGGCTCAGTTGGTTTCTTGTTCCTTTGCCTCTTCTCTTTGATGTGTCATCTAAACTTATCCTGGCACCACCAAAACACTGCAAAGAAACCTGAGACGTGACACCGTGAAAAATCCAAATCCCAAAAAATAAAAGCAAAACAAAATCGCAAGAAACATATGAAAGAGAAAAAAACGGTTGGGCTATCTATACAGTATCCCATCCAAATCCAGCACATCCTGCAAACAGGCAACAAAAAAACGTCCTGAAAAATTTCACTATTGGGCCATCCATATCCCAATCCAAACCGAACAACCATTTAAAGAATTGACAGGCGTTTAAAAAAGAAAAAACACGGAAAACAGAAAAAAACAAAACTTTTAGGCCATAGCAAGCAAGACTCAAAAGGAATCCAATACAATCCAAACAGAATTCCTCAAAAATCCACCAAGTACCCCCAACAAGCAACGAAAACTGGGTCAGAGCACCCAGCCACATTCTAATTGGAACAGTGTGTGCTTAAACAGAACTTGTCCACAGTTTTCCAAAGCTCAGACTTCACCACCAAATCCTATTCATCAGTGGCCACTTCAGGGGGTGTAATGTTTTGCCAGGGTTTGTCGGTACACCCCCCCCATCAATCAAGCTAAACACTCTAAAGAAAACCTAAACTTACCCCAATGAAATCCCCAAAACACCTGCTTGGGTGTGGCCTACATTTTTCAGGGTACAACATTTTCTATGGTTGAATAGAATTGCAGCAAGAAGGCCCCTAAGAAGTATCTCCCCTCGCACGCTTAAGGCAATTCATGTCAAAGTAGACTTGAAGACCATTGTACCGTGCCAAAAACCTATCTTCTTTGACACATCGTAAGGATTTGCTTACGAGTCCCCTTACGCATTGCTTGCGGACACAGTGCCAGCTTGCGCGGCAACAAATTGGTGTTAAAATGGTGTTAAATTTGAGCCAAACCTCTTACGCCAAGGTTCTTATGACAGGGTCCCAATGAAGGCAACCAGTTTTCCGCATGGCTCATTTGTGTTCACATGTGTTCACCCATTCTTACGCCCGACCTCTTGGAGAGACATTGGGGTTTGTCTGAAAATAAGGTTCCCAAAAATAAAATGGTTTACTATGGTTTATTCTCATCCATTAGATATTGACAATCTTGCTTTATTTTCATCCATTGAAATCCAACGTTTTTTTTTTCCAGTTATAATCCAATGCCAAAACTGCAATCTTCTCTGGCATTCAAAAATTGTCAAGTGTTTTCTTCACCGGCCTTGTGTGTCTGGATACCACTCGACTCCTTCACAGCCATCATCCGCCCTGCAGGCTGCTTGGCATGCTTCAAGTGATTCGACGGCGTCCGGGACCGGATCGGCCATCACGTCACGATTCCGGAAATCCTGTCGCCGAGACGCGCGTACCCTGTGTCTGGCCCATCCCTTTGATGGGGAAGTCTATTGAGAAGGGAGATGGGATTAAATTTGTAGATAACTAATCATAATCCACTTGCAATCCGTTTGACTAGCCAAGAAAAAACTGATCTAACTCAATCTTAGCTGAATTGATTATACATCCCGCCACATTAATTTATATATCATATTTTCGCCCACTGTATAGAAGCACTATACCATCCAAATAACACCGTTGCTGATCCCATGGCGCCTTGCAAAAACCCTCATAATGGGAAAATGCGTTGCGGCAACCAATTCGGAAGGCGCACTGAGCATCATATGGCTCCCCACCACCTTGAAAAGGCCTCGGAATTCGACCACCTGGGTGGTCCCTATGGTTTTTAAATCATGTCTATCTATCTATCGATCTATCTATCGATCTATCTGTCTATCTATCGATCTATCTGTCTATCTATCCATCCATCCATTTTTGCATCTATCCATCTCTCTGCCAATGGACAAATAGACAGAAAATGGACAAAGAGATGGACATATAAAAAGACATAAATCCTTAAGAACCATAGCAGCTATACATTTATTTATCATCCATGTATCTAACATATCTACAAATCTGCCTATCTGCCTATCTATCTATCTATCTACCGATCGATCGATCGATCTATCGATCTATCGATATATCGATCTATGGATCTATCTATCCATCCATCTAATCTATCTATCTATCGATCTGTTTGTCTGTCTGTCTGTCTGTCTGTCTGTCTGTCGATCTATCTATCTACCTTTCTACCTATCTATCTACCAATCTATCTACCTCTCCATCTCTATCAATCTACCAATCTATCAATTTATCTATCACTACATCAACCCATCAATCTATCCATCTCTCAATCTAATGAAATCAATCCTATCAATCTAATCAATTAATTTTTATCAATCTATCAATCTCTCTTTCTATCAACCTATCAATCTGTCAAACAATCAATCAATCAATCTATCTATCCATCCATCCATCTATCTATATATCTATCTATGTTTCTTTCTATCTACCTATCTACCTATCTACCTATCCGCCTATCTAACTCTCCGCCTATCTACCTATCTATCTATCCATCTACCAATCTATCCATCTACCGATCTACCGATCTATCTATCTATCTGTCTATCTATCTATCTATCTGTCTATCTATCTATCTATCTATCTATCTGCCAAGATCACTAGATGCATTTGGGAATGAGTATGGATGGTGCCTGCACTGTTTTCAAAGCCGATCATGGCAATCCCTGGGGTGCAAGCTGCGAACTGCTTGGAGCTTGAGAAAGTGCTTGGAGTGCGTGGTGGTGCTTGATCCATCAGGAATCAAACATACCAGCTGAAGGGGATAAATTTCTTTGCAAAGGACTTGAACATAGATTTGTTGAAAAGCTCCGTGCCCAAACCAGTTACAGTGATGATCTCAACGTTTATTTTTCGTATGTCCATCCAAAATTGTCTGACCATTTCTACTGGTTCAATCCCGCAGCTTTTACCTCACATGCGTTTCCCAACTGACTTTCATATTGTTCAGAGGGGTGGGTATACCACCAACCAGGTATATATACTGTACATATACATATATATATACACATATATATATATATTAACCATCATTAACCATATAATAACCATATATTAACCATATATTAACCACTATTAGCAGTATTATAATCACATATTATCTGGGTCAATTATGGTGTGACCTCACCTTGCGACGCCTCGTTTGAAACGATGTTGTGGAGTTGGGGAGTCTCCAGGTGGCTAGTGGGAGAAACATATCGAGGGCTTACCCCTACATTTGAGGATTAGCAACGCTTGTTTCGTGTGCTTTTTCTCCAGCAAAGCAAGCCATATATAATGTACACATATATATATACATAATGTACATATAAATATAAATATATATGTATATATATATACATATATATATATATATTGCACTGTATAGATACATGTTCTTATTATATATACATATGTGTGTGTATACGTGTGTGTGTGTCAAGTTATTCGACAACAGTGGACTATTCCACGTTTAGCTCGTCTAGGGGTGGCTGGCTGAGGTGGTATCGCGAGCAGTTCCTCGGAGCACACTGTCATCGCATTCCCCCGCGTCCCGCGTATGAAATGGCCCATCTCACTGGGGAGACCTCACGCCAGCTGCTCGGAAGATCGTGCATTGTTTTGATGATTTGGCAATGCCTCCAGCGTGGAATACCCTCTGGTAAACGGGCTAACATAACTATGGATGATGACATTCCCAATATGCGCAAACATAAAAAATGATAAAACATGTTCCAAACCACCAACCAGAATACCCCATTATCATATCATATCCCACTTTATCCCGCTTTGTCTCCATTCTACCAGCATTTTGATTGGTGAAATCAGTGAAACACCCCCCAATAGACTCCAAATGTCAGTCCTGATATCATGCTAAGATCTGCCCAATGTACCAGGGCGGCAGCGCGGCAAGGGCCAAGCCACTCCACAGCTTCGCAGAGTGAGTCTTCCATGCAAGCAACTTGGCACGCGCTGAAACGAGCGATGTCTGGCAGTGGTTCGGACTTCACGTTGCTGCCGGAATAGTCCCTGGATGCGGTTCGAAAACTGTGAAAGGGGTTGGTGAAAATGATGGCAATATATATATATATGCGTATAACTTAACATTTTATAACACACACACCTATATATATATATATACATATACATATAATATGTACAAATAATTATACATATATATATATACATACATACATACATGCATTCAGACCCTCGTTGGTCCTTTCTTTCTTTCTCTCTCTCTCAGATTAACTGATAACATGCACGATTCCATTACATTATAAGTACGCGCATAGGTATATATTCATCTTATACACATGTGCACAAATATGCACCGTGCAGCCTGACTTGACTTAAGGGGTCACAGGAAACCATCCTGTAGTGTTATACCTTGAAGTGTTGGGTTTCCTGATTTTTTTCACCCACAAGATATGGCAATATGCCGAATATGCCTCTAGAATCCTTTATATGCCTTTAACCATGGCCATGCAAGCTTGATGCTGAAATTCTTATTTTGATTCCTAGCTGCGTACGACGTATGATATTCATTTTCCGGCATCAGAATTAATTACTGATGATCACACCATTGCTGAGACAAACATCCCATTGCAGCATCGTATCGTTGATTCCACCACTGCTGTCGTTGCTAAACTGCAAGAATTATTCCCGGTGGATCTATCCCCACTTTGACCACCAATTAAGCTGGCATTCACCAAGGCTTTTATATATACCAAATCTGTCATGGGCTGAGTCCAATTTTCCGCTGGAGTACAGTCTACAGTGTATGTGTGTTTTTTGTTTGCATGAAATAACGTGCTCCTCCCTATGTAGTTGGTGACATCTTAGATGTTCCCGGGAAAAATGCACACTAAGCTACGTCACCAAGGTTTACCCAGTTAAAGTATATCAAAATGCCAAACTGTTCATGTCTTATCACGTTTTATGGTATGTTCATATGTATGTTCTATGGCACTTTCAATCTTCAATGCTATTTTCCAAGAAAATATCCACATGTCTCCTGTTTTTGCTGATATCAAAGCCACGAATTGCTCCTGCCATCCCCATCCCCCCACCTGCACGCCCCTGATTGAGTTCTCCAAAAGTCCGTCCCGCCGTCCGCAGCCGCCAAGGCCGCCAAGCAGGCGCCCGCGGGGAGGAGCCAACGCATTGGGGTCCGATAGCTCTGAGAATGTGAGCCGCTGGGTATCTAATGGTTCCTGTGTTGAAAACTGACTCTAGCTGGTTTCCATCCGCAACGGATTTCAAGTCCATTGATTGGTGGTTGATGTTCAATATGAAAATGGCAACTTGGGTACCTGGATGATCTGAATCCAAATGATGTGGATGCTAAATGATATTAAATGCAGTTGATACGAGCACCAGAAACATGAGCAAAACTGCGGTGAGTCTGAACTCTTAACTCTGATGAGAACCGCTAACAGCTGGATGATTCCGATAATGTATTGCGAAGATATGGAAAGGTATCTTGTTGTGTGTTATGCCGCTCTAAGTGCAAACACGAAATGCAAAGCAGGAGTGCTATCTGTTTTATCATGCGTAGCTTCGAATGCTAGGCTCAAAAGAGGGCCCTCTGGAATCGTTGTCCAGAGGCAAGACACGTAAAAGCCAAAGAGGCCGCGTCGAGAACGCCCAATGTAGTTCTGCAGCTGCATGTTGTGATTCCAACCTGGCAAAGTGGTGAATGGATCAGTTTGGTGGCACCAAACTCACACCGGTGGAGAAGAAAGAAAAGTTCACCACGGTCCACCCAGGTTGCTGTTGTCACGCAACGTCTGAATGCATTGGCTGCAGCATTTCAAATCTCGTATGCCGGCTTGATTCGCTTGCAAAAGCGCTCGGCAATCACGATGCAAATGGTATCGGGCTCCAGTTCGGCTCACAAACAAAGAGGTTGATGTCACATCTTGCTCGTAGTAGTGAACCAAATTTTCAAGATCTTGGATCCTTTCATCTTTGTCGTTCACCTGCTGTTGCAGCATCTGAACTCTGCAGTTCAAAAGGTGAATGGTTTGATCTCGTTCACTTTCGGTTTGGGTTGATACATTTTCCAGCGCAGCTTGTTGATTCCATAGGAACGCAAAAGGTCTCGTCAGTGACCAGGGCATTCTTTGGAAGAACTGCACCAGCATAGGTCTAGGCAGGGACCTTGTCATTCTTTCTAAGCACTGCCATGCCAGAAAAACTGTCGCCGCAAACATGGTGAGGAAGGTGAAGATGAAAATGATGTTGTACAGGATGAAAAAGAATCTTCGGCAAAATCATCACCTCGAACTGGCTCAAGTTGATTTGTCAGCACTGCAAAACCAATGCCTTTCTGCAAACGACCAATCGCATTGCGTCTGGCTAAGCTTGGCGTTCAGCAAGGGTATTCTTCTTCGCTGCTTGGAAGCTCTGGTCAGAGTGCAGGGAGAAGACATGGGACCGTAAGCGCTCTGCAAGCAATTGCCGTGCTGCAATTTTGGTAACACCATCTGCCAGTTGGGTCTCTGATGAAATCCATTTCAGTTTCGTTCTCATCTCATCCATTTTCTGTTTCACAACCATGACCTCAATCTTGGATCTTCGGTCGCCTTGCATCTGTGGAACTTCAGCTTTCAGGCTATCGTAGAGTGCCTTCGCGTTGACCACCAAGGCTGACTGCATTTGGATGTCGTGGACGTCCAAGTGGCGCAACTCAAAGCCAGGAGTCACACATCCATGCCAGAAGATCAGGAGATACTCAAGGGCATCCATCGCGCCAGCGCATGCTTGTGCTTCAGAGTTGAGGCTACTGCGGCTGATTCTGGGGAGTTTGTAGCCTCGCCAGTCCAAAACAACGTAGGGTTGGTCCAATTGACCTTGCAGGGCTTTCACATTCATCAGCAAAACAAAGTAGCCGCCTTGGGACTCATGGTTCTTTCGAACGCCCCAGGCTGCATCGCTCAAGGCTATCATGCATAGCTCATGTAGCTGGCCAAGGTCAGAAAATTGGAGTCCAACGTCGCTGTTGGCTTTGGCAAATCTCAGCGGCTTGTTTGCTTGGGTAGCTGTGGAAACTGCTGCGGCGCTCACTTCGCCACACAAAAGACTCACGCTTGCACTGAGGTGAGGTGAAGTCTGGGTTGCTGGCCATTGAAGCGCTCCTAGAAGTCCACGGAGCATTGTCACTTCTTTGACAGTCAATTCACGATTCTCATCTGAATCGCTCAAGGTCAAAGGTTTGATCTTTTGGACATATGCCTGTTGGCGCAACCACCAGCCACCTTTGCCATCATCCTCAAGGTCACAACCGCAAAACTGTAGTTGACCAGTTTTTTTTCCTTCAGTCCAATGTTTGAAGTTGAAACTCTCATGAAGAGCCTGTTTTGCCTTCTGGTAGACTTCATCGGATTCAAGTCCAGCACCGATGAGATCATCGACATGAATGCCGATCATTGAAACCAATTGATCACCATGAAAAAGGCAATAAAGGCATTGATCTAGTGGATGTGGTTGGTACCCTGCAGCAATCAATCTTCTGCGAGCAACTTGAAACCATCTTGGAGCATCGGCTTGCCCGTAAATGGATTTGAGAAGTCGCATCAGTGTACCGGCTGGCACACCAATCAGCTGGCAAGCGTCTTTGGGAATTCTGGCCCACAAAATTCGCTTCTGGGGATCGCCTTGAAGAAAGGCTGTCGCAACATCAGAAATGAACATGAGCCAGGATTTGCAAGTTGCAATGGCCAGGAGAATCTGCCGTGAGGACCGGCTCAAAGTAGGGGAAGATGTGTCAAGCTCTCCTCGTAGTAGATCTGGATCAGAAAATCCTTGAAGAACCAAACGTGCTTTTGCGCGTGGGTTGCCATTGTTGTCGGCAGACCACTTCAGCACAAACCGTGCTTTCATCACGCGGTTCCAATCGACCTTCTCAGGATGGAGCTCAATCTGACAAACTTGATTCTCAAAAATGGAGGCCAACTCAGCTTTCTTGCCCTCGATGAACGCCAGGCGGTCTTCAAGACTCATTCGGCTTTCCTTCAGGTCAGCTGAATCCTTGACGTTCTTCTTCTTGGGTGCAGCTTGGGCAGACCAGATATGGCCACGGCTTCGGATGGTTTTGTTGTTGAACTTCTTGGACAGGTCGCCAACGTAGCTTTGGCCAAACTCAGCTGCAGCATCTTTGGTCAGTGGGTACAAGGTCTTTCCAAACCATGGTTCATCACCCACAGGGGCAGGCTGCTCCTCGTTGACCAGGATGATGCGGCTGTTGCGTCTCATTGTCAGGCCATTTGTGGTCTGGAGCTTCTCGGCAGGCAAGGGAAAATCTGTTGTATGAAAAGTGCAATCCCTTGACCAAACATGGTTTCTAACCAAAAATCCATCTTCAAAACTCCAAAAATCTGCTGTGGAACCAAGGTAGATCTCATGGGTTTTCGGATCATAGTGCCATCCAGCTGGACTACTGGTATAAAACCATAAAATCGACACTATGATCTGGGTTTGTCCAATAGTGCTATCTAAAACATATATGCCGGCAGTAAATGGACATATTGCATAATTACATATGCATATGTATATATATATACATACGATCCATGGAAATTCGGAGGGAATCCCAATGTCAAACAACCCCAAGGGCAGCCAATAAGCTGCCACCGATTTCTGACGTCATGGCGCTCCTTCTTTATGGCCAAACCCCTTTGGGGTTGGCGGCCAGCACTTTAAGTAGAGGCCAGGGTGGCCATGCCCTAAAACATCGAAACAGATCATCGACCAATGTCAGACTAAATGATAGAGCATTTATATATATATTCATGCCCAACCAATAAATGTCCAATAAATGGATATCAATGGATATAAATAAAAAGTTGATAAATGAATCTGCCCAACTCCATTTATCAACTTTGACATGCTGTAGATGGAGTTGGTCCGATTTTGGGATGCCGTCTGTACCATCGAAGTCAAAAGTATGTCTACTCGGGGGCGAGGTGGGTAATCGAGATTGAGCCCATGAGCCCATGTAAGAACTTTATATCTGTCTCTTTATATATGTATATATGTATGTATAATACAGTGGGGATAATGCATGGATACGGATGTGAATATTCATGCAGCTCATAAGCATTCAGTAACTTGATCTGGGAGAGAATATATGTTCATAATGCACTTCCTGGAGATGTGTATGTAATTATATGGAGGTTTCCTGAAATGGGGGTACCCCCAACTCATCCATGTTAATAGGATTTTCCCTTATAAATTATAAATCAACCATTTTGGGGTATCCACATTTGTGGAAACCCCCATACAGACTTGGTACCGGCGCCAATAGCGCCCCTAAGTCTTTAAGAGTTTGAACATTGTTCAAAATGGCAAGAGCTCAAAACCTGGATTTCGGAGCATTTTTATGTGGAAGTCAAAATTTCAAGGCTTCGAATTTGTTGGTATTTGCAAGAAGGCCAGCCTTTTTTCATTTTGGGTCAGTGGAATTGCGGGTCAGGACTCTTAAAGAAAACAACTTTCTCACAAGAGATATCTTATTTGAAATGAAGTTATCGTTAAGTAGTGCAGCATCAACTATGTTACATGAAGCGAACTTCAAGTAGCATCACGCTTTATATATTTGATATGATATTAACGTTACGCAGCGTAGCATCATTTATGTTACATGAAGCTAACTTCAAGTAACATAACATCTTAATTGGCATCAAGTTAACGTCAAGTAGCGTGCAGCATCTATGTTACATGAAGTGTGCTTGATTTAGCGTAGCATTACATATGTGACAAGAGGTTAGTTTGAAGTAGCATCTCATCTTATTCGAACTGAAGTTCACGTGAAGTAGCGCAGCATCGAACGTATGCAAGCGCTATTGAAGGTTATTGCACCCCCACCCCCCCCACCGCACCATCCCCCTACCACACCCGAACCCCCCGGGTCAGCGTCAACACTGAGAGTGCAAGACATGTGTGCAAGTGCAAGATTTGATTAAGCAGCATATTATGCTAGTTCAACTTAACCTGACATAGCAAAACAAATCTATGTTAGGAGAAGTCAACATTACATACCGTAGCATTTATATAAATTACATTAGATGAAGTCACCTTTCAGTAGCGCGGCATCACCTGAACCTTACAAGCAATGTCAAGTCACATTGCATCTTCTATAAATGCAAATAATGCAAATGCTATTAAACGTTATTGCGCCCCCCAACCCCACCCGATCGCTAACAACGCCGCTAGCACAAACTTGCTCTCACCCCAACAGGTGAAACGAAAGGCTCAGAGAGAGTGAGTACAGAAAAGGAGCCACCTCAGCCCAGGGCCCCAGGGGATCCAGGGGTGGAGGAGCAACACATAGGGGACATCTTCACCCAATAATGACATTATGCTACGATTCATTTGTGGTTTTATAGATATATGACGTTCTTGTGGTCATATACACATGACATATATATATATATGCATGTATGTCTAAGAGTGCAGATGGCATTGCCAATTATTATTCATTTATAGGTTTCGAAAAATGTGGGCATACAGGCATACAGCGGGGCCCTGAGTCCATGGTGCTGGAGAAATGACCATTCCTTTCTCTGCGAACAAACGGCGGCTTTCGGGGATTTATGGATTTTCATCCCCTAAAACATGTGTTCGATTTTCATCCATATTATCCATAAGACTCCAAGATGACTCATCTTGACAGCATGCATATTTGCTCAAAGAGATCCTGCTGACCGTTGACATCCGTTGACCCTTCACCCAGGTACGCTGATTGAAGCGGCAGCCCCAGAGTGTGCCCGCACGTAGCATTGTGCGTCCAGGTAATGGCCTCCGCCTTGTACCACCGGCAAACTGGATGAGCCACCAGAACCAGGCGTTCCCGGGAACTTGTGGCATTTGTGGTTTTGCCAGCCTGGCGGAAAGACTTGAATCCCATGATTGTTCCCTACAAGTATGGTGCTTTTAACAGCATCTACAAGCTCCATCATACACAACTCTTTGTGCAGCTTGGAAGGTGTATATATATATACTGTATATATACTGTATATAAATATATATATATATACAAATACTGTATATATACTGTATATATCTGTATATATACTGTATATATCTGTATATATACTGTGTATATATATATATGTATATATATACATACATCACAGACCCGTCACGGAGCCACGCCAGCAACAGCCTTCCGAGCCAGGATACCACTCGATTCCTTGGCTTTGCTTGATCCAACTGCTGGCATCGCTTCATCGAAGCCCTGATTTGGTACCGGATCATAATGGATCTATTCATGGTCCCGAAACGAAGAGAATTCAATGAGGGGATTAGATAAAATGTTTGCCCAAAACTAGGGCATCCCAAAAATCAGTCACTTTAAGCCTCGTGTCCCTCCAAAAATTACAGATGATTTGCTGCAACTATACTTGGTCGGAGGTTTCAACCCTCATGACGAATGTGCTCATCATCTAAAATGCGCTTGAAAATCAAACAAACATGTTTGAAAACAGCCAGGTAAAAATAATGTGGTACATGGCTAAACCAACAATAATCCATCCCCGCCTTCCAATGACCATAGATTGGCGGGTTGTCAAATAATCCGCAAACCGTAACTTTGTGTTATGACTGTATGGGATTATATGAGTTTGTTACATATCCCACTGTATATATTATATATATACAGTGTAAATCTATGCAACATATAATCAACATATATATATATAACTGATATATATATATATATAGTACGTACCGTAAGGATAGAAGATATTCCACGAATATTTCATATAGAAGTTGCCATTTTGGGGGTCCAAAAAGTACCAACCACATAGAAGATAATGCGTGTTGCAAAAGTTGTCCCAAACAGGTTTTTGGGGGTTTCCAGCCACATTTTTGGGGTGTTATTTTCTATATGGTTTGTAAATGGCAGTTGCCTTTCAACATCAACAATTCACTGGTATTTACGGTGTTGCTGGCCATTTTGACCAAACTTTCTGGGTTACTTCCGGGGAAGTGCATGTATGGCCAAATGCCGGTATGTTGCCAAGGTAGTTCCACATTGGCCGGATTTGGGGGGGAACTTTTGCAACAAGGCTTGTTGCAGCCATCTTGGAAAAAATCGCAAAAAAACCTCAGGTTTTTTTTTGTGTTTTTTTGGGGCCGATGTAAAAGTTATCCCAAGAAAAAAAACAGATCATATAGAAGATAATGGTGTTCCATCATGGTTCATTCATGGTTCAATCGTCCAATCAAATAGAAGATATTCCCAGAACTAATTTTACCAAAATTTTAATACCCAAAATATTCAAAGAATATCTTCTATATGATCAGTAAACCCTTGAAGCTGCAAATACTTTCTTCCCCAATCCCTGAATCTGCGTTTGGGCAATGCCGTGTTAACATTATTCCCACAGGCCTGATGCATGCAGGTAAACATTAAGGATTAAAAAGGGCTGGCACTGCTACTAGTTCATATGTGTCCCATAGTGTCGAAATAATATATTTGGTTGATTATCTTCTATCTGATCGGTAAAATTACATTGTTTTTTTTTTCAGTGTACATCCCAAATTCAAAATATTTTGACATTATCTTCTATTTGATCGGTAAAAGTACATGCTTTTTTCCTGGTGGACTGCTCCAACCGGGGTTCCCCTTTGAACAAACCATGTCTTGCCATATTATATATATGGTTAAAATGGCACATAGATAGTTGTTAATGTTATATGTGCACACCTTTCTAGTGAGTATACAGTTGAGGCTCTACTACCATAAGAAGAACCAGGTCCCCTGGTGTTGAAATCATATAGTTGGTTGATTATCTTCTATCTGATCGGTAAAATTTCATTGTTTTTTCAGTGTACATCCCCAATTCAAAATATTTTGGCATTATCTTCTATTTGATCGGTAAAAAAGTACATGATTTTTTTCCTGGTGGACTGCTCCAACCGGGGTTCCCCTTTGAACAACCCATGTCTTGCCATATTATATATACATGGTTAAAATGGCACATAGATATTTGTTAATGTTATATGTATACACCCTTCTACTGAGTACACAGTTGAGGTCCGAATATCATAAGAAGAACCAGGTCCCATGGTGTCGAAATAATATATGTGGTTGATTATCTTCTATCTGATCGGTAAAATTACATTGTTTTTTTCAGTGTACATCCCCAATTCAAAATATTTTGACATTATCTTCTATTTGATCGGTAAAAGTACATGCTTTTTTCCTGGTGGGCTACTCCCAACCGGGGTTCCCCTTTGAACAAACCATGTCTTGCCATATGTTAAATATGGTTAAAATGGCATATAGATATGTGTTAATGTTCTATGTGCACACCCTGTTAGTGAGTATACAGTTGAGGTCCTAATACCATAAGAAGAACCAGGTCCCCTGGTGTTGAAATCATATAGTTGGTTGATTATCTTCTATCTGATCGGTAAAATTACATTGTTTTTTCAGTGTACATCCCCAATTCAAAATATTTTGACATTATCTTCTATTTGATCGGTAAAAGTGCATGTTTTTTCCTGGTGGACTGCTCCAACCGGGGTTCCCCTTTGAACAACCCATGTCTTGCCATATTATATAATTATACATGGTTAAAATGGCACATAGATATTTGTTAATGTTATATGTATACACCCTTCTACTGAGTATACAGTTGAGGTCCCAATATCATAAGAAGAACCACGTCCCATGGTGTCGAAATAATATATTTGGTTGATTATCTGGTCGGTAAAATTACATTGTTTTTCAGTGTACATCCCCAATTCAAAATATTTTGACATTATCTTCTATTTGATCGGTAAAAGTACATGTGTTTTTTCCTGGTGGACTGCTCCAACCGGGGTTCCCCTTTAAACAACCCATGTCTTGCCATATTATACATATATATATATATATGATATATGGTTAAAATGGCATATAAATATTTGTAAATGTTCTATGTGCACACCCTTTTGGTGAGTATACAGTTGAGGTCCTAATACCATAAGAAGAACCAGGTCCCCTGGTGTTGAAATCATATAGTTGGTTGATTATCTTCTATCTGATCGGTAAAAATTACATTGTTTTTTTCAGTGTACATCCCAAATTCAAAATATTTTGACATGATCTTCTATTTGATCGGTAAAAGTACATGTGTTTTTTCCTGGTGGAGTGCTCCAACCGGGGTTCCCCTTTGAACAAACCATGTCTTGCCATATTATATACTATATGATAAAAAAAGATGGCATATAGCCCTTCTAGTGACTATACAGTTGAGATCCCAATACCATAAGGAAAACCAGGTCCCGTTGTGTCCAAAGCACCAACGTTTTTTTTTGGGCAAAGGTCCTCAAATTCATTATCCTTGGAATATCTTCTATTTGACCCGTAAAATTCATCAGGTTCTTTCACCTCCGCATATGGATGCCTAGTGGAGATAGGACCCTTAACCCTTTACAGAAGGGTTGGCGGATGTTGGGGGTGCTCTTGAATAAAAGATGTACATATGTATATATATATATATATAAATACATACACCCTTCTACTGAGTTTACAATTGAGATCCCAATACCATAATAAGAAGAACCAGGGTCCCATAGTGTCGAAGAAAATGTTTGGCTGATTATCTTCTATCTGATCCGTATAATTACATTGTTTTTTCAGTGGGCAGCCCCCATTTAAGATATGTTTGACATTATCTTCTATTTGATCGGTAAATCTAGATGTTTTTTCCCAGTGGGCTCCCCCTTCTCAATATTATATGGTTTCTTTCCACAGGACTTCCTCCTTCACAGAAACGTTTGTGGATGCCACGGTTCCGGTTTGAACAGAATAAGTATTTCCATATGTTATATATGGTTAAAATGGGACATATATATATACATATACAACCTTCTGACTATCTTGGTATACATGCATACATACCTGTATATACATACCACCTCCTCATACATGAGCCACAAGGTCCACGATACCATGTCAAACTCTGAAGATTACATGATTACACTAAACAAGAGGAAAACCAATTCCAGGACAACCGTTTCGAAGTTGAACAAGCCATCAATTAGCACCAATTCCGAACACATAGAAGTCCAAACCATATAGAAATAGACCACTTTCAAATCCAATTCAAATAGAAGATATTCAGGAATATTTCAATTTGTTGTTGCAAGAGCTGTCTCAGTTCTGGGTTCCGGAAGGTGATGTTGGTCTTCCCAGGAGCCCATTTTACATATTATCTTCTATATGATCTGTTCTGGAGGTACATCGACCGTACAATTCATATAGAAGTTGAATTTCCTGAATATATTCTATCCTTGATGACCATATTATATATATATATATATAATTTTCATACTACCCGACATATGCTTGGTTTTAGCATGTTTTAGCATGCTTGTTGTAAAAAACAGTGACACCATGCATTTATGTGCCATGGCCACATGGCATACCGCAATTTCCCTTAGCGAAGCCAGTGCGATGATTTCCCTAGTAAGCATGGCGTTGCCCACCGCAAAGTGCAACAAAGTACCAGAGTAAATCCAATGATTGTTGCAATCTGAAAATCGTGTTAAATCATGTTAAATCATCCATGTTGCCATTCCCTGGGTGGGGTTGGGGTGCCCCATTTTGTAGTGAACCAACCCCTTTCTCTACAAAATGCACAGTCTCCATCCTACAAAATGGTCTGTCTATAACCCATGGCTCTACAAAATGGTAGTGCCTGTCACCTGTTTTGATCCACAAATATTTTGACAATTTTGTCAAAAAATGATCAAACCAGTGCATTCATGATCTTATAAAACATATAAAAATCCCAGAGCCATTTTGTAGAGCCTCTATCTTGGCAAGACCTCAGCGTCAACTGCCTTTTTCCCAGTGCCATTTTGTAGGGTTTTTACCCTCTAGTCCATCTTCACTCATCCTTTGCAAACACAAATATGCACTTACAAAATGGTACATTTATTGAAACTATGGGTACTCTACAGAATGGCTAGCTGATTTTTCTTTGTCAATGACTTTTTAAAACCACCAAATCAGACCCTTAAAAACATCTACAAAATGGCTTTTTGTTTGTTACAAAATGGTTTGTCTTGGTGCCCATAAATGATCATGCCTTCAAAATAAAAATGATAAAACCAGGTAAAACCCACAAATTACTACAAAATGGCAAGCTCGACCCCATTTCAAGGAACCACTTTCCACAGAATGGTGCCTTATAGGCACCCCAACCCCTCCCATTCTGTGGAGGAAATGGCAACGGGGATGTTAAATCATCATTCTTAAGCACCATAAATTTACCAAAGGATCCACAGGGTAGTCTTGTGGCCAGGATTCCAGTGCAACTCTCATTTAAGAGGCACACTGCTTGGCACGCTTCCAGTGACTCAGCAATAGGTACCGCATCTGCCATCACGTCAACACCGTCACGGTCCTCCAGTGCCGGTGCAACGGTTCAACGTGATTTTTGCGGATCCCCCGTTCCATGATAAACCCCAGTTGGAATAGCAACCTCCCAAAAGCGGAAAAGAACATCGGCACGCTTTTTACACAACTTATCATTACGTACCACAATTCCATATAGTTTCCCAACCAGAAATTAAACCATACTAAACATATTTTTTGATATTTTTTGGATATTTCCCCTTACCAATCATCAAAAAAAACGGACTTTGGTCGGCCACAACAATGGCGGCGCCAGAAAATTTGGCAGCTGTCCGTACAGAAACCGTCAAAATGTGTGAAGCTGTCTCGACCGAAGCGAAGGTAACACTGCGCATCCAAGTAGTTTCCACCACCCTGGGACGGCCTGAAGTTACCGCTTGTGGGACAAGGTGGAAAAAACATATCACCCAACAAACCATCAAGAATTATAAGCCCGGAATCCCTCTAGGATGCTGAATTCAGGAAATATTTTTTTTACGACTTTAATATGGTTTTGGATACGATTTGACGATATGAATTTGATATGCTTTGAATTTGGGGTTATGATTTCGATATGGGTTTTGTTACGATTTTGATACGATTTTGATATGATTTTGATACGGTTTTGATATGGTTCCGATGGGTTGGCTTCAAATCACAAGTTTGACCCACATCAAAAATCATAACTGAAACCATATCAAAATCATAACAGCAAAACCAAGCCATAAACAAATCATAACAACAAATCATATCTGAAACGTATCAAAATCATTAAAAAAAATATGTTCAAAAACCTTCATCCTAGAGACTTCGGATCTTATATATCAAGAAGTCACCCGACTCGGTAAATCAGCAAAAAGGAATAACTCATTTTATTTATCGCATGCCATCAATTGCCATCATGTGATTCATGCGACATGTTGGCCCCTTTTTTTGCCATGAATTCTCTCCGAACACGCCGCCCTCGTGGATCCAAGCGGCATCTCTGTGGAGTCACCGCGTCCACTGTGGGTGGATCCAGGTGCAGGTGGATACCTCCAACATTTCACCCCTCCATATCCCCTAGACTCCGGATACCACCTGAGAGGCGGGTGAACCAAGCAACGAAACATTGCGAAACCAAGATGGAGACTCGGTGTAACCGATGGGATGATAGTTGAGATGATGGATGATGGCTTGTCTTTTGGGGGTGAGCTTGACAATTTATAGGTATTTTTGGTTTTTGCTCATGGTTCTGAGGGATTTGAACGACTTGCACCAATCAAAGAAACAACCACATCTAAGCCCAGGTACACAATAGCTTCGCACGAAAGGTCCTCAGAACAAACCTCGGGACTGTGGGGCCCGAAAACAGCAAACATTTTGCCATGAGATTCATCACGTCTGGTGGGTGCATTACTGCGAAAATGGACACGTAAACTTTAAGCATGGGGAAAACGGATGAAAAAGGTACAACAATATATTTGAATGTTTCCTGAAATACGGATACCCCCAAAGCATCCAAAATTAGTCTATTTTAGTATTGGAACCCATTGTTTTTTGGGTAACCCCCATTTTAGGAATCATCCATGATATTTGTTTGGGGGGGTACCTTCAAACATCCAAGAATCACTTTGGCAAGCTTCCAGTGTTGACAGGTGCAAGTTCACTGGATTTCCCTTCACATCGGTTCCAGTCATGTCCCTGACAAGGCCGGGAACTGCAAAACAAGCCATCTGAAGAATATGTTTGCCAATTTGGATCAGCGTTCCAGCTAGGATGGAAAATCATACAGGATTTATCGGGAAAACATGACGATCACGGATAATTTTTAATAATATGATGGAATTAAGGCGGGGGTGATGGAAAATCATTGTCACCAACAGCAAATCTTCACCATCCCCTTGAGGAAACCACCGTTTGGGCCCCCAAGTAATGAATAGATCCGATATTAAACCAAGGTTTTGATTGCATGTATTTCATCTTTGGAAGAAGGCGTTAAAAGGATTTAAAAGGTACATACAATGCTGATTTGAGGGACAATCCACACAGGAAACATCCGCAACGACCAGGACTGGAAGGACAGGGTGTGTACAGTGTGTGTGTGTGTGTGTGTCTGGATCGATGGATGGAAGGATGGATGGATTTGGTGCAGTAATGTTATGGAATATAGCTATGGAATGTACTGTCGTGAGATTTAAGACTTCAGGTGATGTGGTGTCATGTAAAGCCGTGGAAATGTAGTGCGAGGAAATAGAACGGAATGTATGTCTTGATATCTGCAAAATGACATATCAGAGTAACAAAAACCTGCTTGTTGGAAAACAAACAAGTTTGCGCAGGTATGGGGTATGGGCGACGATGTATACATTGAGACATACATTTTTGTTAATAATATATATATATAATTGTTATTCTAGATCTGCAACTATTTTCTTGGTTGACAACTGCAACATGTACCCCCGGGGATTACCCAGGACAACAATGTGGTGGCACCACACGTCCTGTTACCTCCCTCACACACACAAAAAATACATGCTGCTATTTTGGGTCAAGTTACTTGAGCCAAAATGGGCGTGTGTTTATCCTTATTTAACCAACCACCTAGAAATGACGACTGTCCACCCAGTGCCTGCCAAACACTAGACAGTCATATATATATATATATACATGTAAAACATACAGTATATACATAGCGAGAGGTCATTAAGTATGAATGAACATGAACAGAAACATGCAGGCTCGAGTCTGCGACAGAAAATCAAACACCCCCAGAATTTTGTTCCCTCTTGGTCCTGCCTGCAATAGCCAGTGAAGTGCTGCCACCGATCATTTCTGAGTCGTGCTAGTCCTCCAAAGCAGTGCCGCACATAGCATTGTGCATCCAACCATTTGCCTCCGCCTTGTACCACCTGCAAACTGGATGAGCCACCAGAACCAGTGCCAGGCGTTCCCGGGAGCTTGTGGCATTTGTGGTTTTGCCAGCCTGGCGGAAAGACTTGAATCTTCGGCCCCAAAAATGTATGAAAACTTTTGGATTCCTGTTGGGTCACATCATGTTGGATCATTCCCTTCATATCTCCTTTTTTCTTGCCTTGCTTTACCAAGTTCTCAAAAGGGGGCATTGATCATCGCAGGCCGTATCAAAAAATGATTCTCGGGCCAGGCTCTCCCAGTCTGATGTGACTTCAAGTTCATAGGCTGGCATTACACCCATTCTTCTTATTATAATATATATATATATACAATTAAAGGTGTGTCTAACTGGGTGTTTCCCACTATGATGCCAGTTTATGTCCAATAAGAGCCGACAATTTACGCGTAAATGCGAAAATTGTCGCAATGAATACCTGAATTTCCTCAGAAATATCCAAAACTATGAAATACTCAACTTCACAGTTGCTGGCTCAGCTGGTTTCTTGTTCCTTTGCCTCTTCTCTTTGATGTGTCATCTAAACTTATCCTGGCACCACCAAAACACTGCAGAGAAACCTGAGACGTGACACCGTGAAAAATCCAAATCCCCAAAAATAAAAGCAAAACAAAATAGGAACAAGAAACATATGAAGAGAAAAAACGGTTGGGCTATCTATACAGTATCCCATCCAAATCCAGCAGTTCTTTGACTCACATCCTGCATCCAGGCAAAAAAAATAGAAACGTCCTGAAAAATTTCACTATTGGGCCATCCATATCCCAATCCAAACCGAACAACCATTTAAAGAATTGACAGACGTTTAAAAAAGAAAAACACGGAAAACAGAAAAAACAAAAAACGTTTAGGCCATAGCAAGCAAGACTCAAAAGGAATCCAATACAATCCAAACAGAATTCCTCAAAACCCACCAAGTACCCCCAACAAACAGCGAAAACTGGGTCAGAGCACAAAGCCACATTCTCATTGGAACAGCGTGTGCTTAAACAGAACTTTTCCACAGTTTTCCAAAACTCAGACTTCACCACCACCAAATCCTATTCATCAGTGGCCACTTCAGGGGGTGTAATGTTGTGCCAGGGTTTGTCGGTACACCCCCCCCATCAATCAAGCTAAACACTCTAAAGAAAACCTAAACTTACCCCAATGAAATCCCCAAAACACCTGCTTGGGTGTGGCCTGCATTTTTCAGGGTACAACATTTTCTATGGTTGAATAGAATTGCAGCAAGAAGGCCCCTAAGAAGTATCCCCCCTCGCACGCTTAAGGCAATTCATGTCAAAGTGCACTTGAAAACCATTTGCGCCGTGCCAAAGACCTATCTTCTTTGACACATCGTAAGGATTTGCTTACGCGTCCCCTTACGCATTGCTTGCGGACACAGTGCCAGCTTGCGCGGCAACAAATTGGTGTTAAAAGTTAAAATGGTGTTAAATTTGAGCCAAACCTCTTACGCCAAGGTTCTTATGACAGGGTCCCAATGAAGGCAACCAGTTTTCCGCATGGCTCATTTGTGTTCACATGTGTTCACCCATTCTTACGCCCGACCTCTTGGAGAGACATCGGGGTTCGTCTGAAAATAATAAGGTTTCCAAAAATAAAATGGTTTACTATGGTTTATTCTCATCCATTGGATATTGACAATCTTGGTTTATTCTCATCCATTGAAATCCAACGTTTTTTTTCCCGAGTGCGTAGCAAGGGTTCCCGTTTCACTCTGGGGGTCTGGGGGTTGAGGGTGTGTTCGCTCGACGTTGCGTTTGTGGCCGCAACCGTCCGCAACCGTCCGCAACCGTCCGCGTGAGGACCGTATGGCCGTGCCTATGGTAAGTTCTGCAGAGGTGGTCATTTTTGGAGGTTCCAAAGGTCTCGTTGCTTCGTGTCGCGTGGCAGGCGTGGCACTTCGTGACATTCAGACGTGTTTTGTAACGTGTCGAAAGTCGTTTTGTGTGGCAGGCGCAATACTTTTGCGACGTTTTCAGAAGATGCGTTGCAGTTTTCGTGGCAGGCGCAGCAGTTTGGACGTGTCCAGCGTCATTTTGCCTGGCAGGCGCAGCACTTTAGACGTATGGTGTTGCGTGTTTTTTGCCGAATCACATTGGCAGGGCTGCGTCAAGTGGCGACAAGGTGCAAATTCCGTGGCAGGCATGGCAGTTTGTGAGATGTGCTGAAAATTGACGGAAGCCTCGCACGAAACATTCATTTTGAGGTAGCGAATTTAGAGGTTCCTAAGAAAACTCGTAGGAAAACGTCGATTCTGAGACTGCAAAGTGTCAGGAAGTCTCGAACGAAATGCTGGTGTTGATGTTCTTACGTGTCTCGTCTCGAGTCTCTGGTTTTCCTGTGGCGTCGCTGTGTCTATGGGGGAAGCGGCAAAGCTTCTCCTTTTCGCATGTTTCCAACTGTGGAAATTAGCGGAAGTCTCGCACGAAAAGCTCGTTTTGGTGCTCCCACCTGTCTCGTCTCGAGTCTCCGGTTTCCTGGTGGCTTCGCTGTGTCTATGGGGGAAGCTGCAACACCTCTCCTTTGCGACGGTTGCCACGCAGGTTGTCATGTCGTTTTGCGTGGCAGGCGCGGCACTTTGTGACAATCCAACCTGTTTGATAACGTGTCGAAAGTGTGAAAATTGGAGGAGGTCTCGCACGAAATGCTCGTTTTTGATGCTCCCACTTGTCTCGTCTCGAGTCTCTGGTTTCCTGTGGCGCCGCCGTGTCTATGGGGGAAGCTGCAAAACCTCTCCTTTTCGAAGGTTTCCAAGCAGGTTGTCATGTCGTTTTGCGTGGGAGGCGTGGCACTTAGTGACATTCCAACCTGTTTGATAACGTGTCGAAAGTTCTTTTGTGTGGCTGGGGCAACAATGCACTCCACACTTTACACTCAACACTTTACACTCCACACTCCACCACACTCCACCACACTCTACACTTTACACACTCCACACTCCTCACTCCACACTTTACACTCCACACTCCACACTCCACACTCTACACTTTCCACTCCACACTCCACACTCTACACTTTACACTCCACAATTTACACTTTAGACTCCTCACTCCACACTCTACACTTTACACTCCACACTCTACACTTTACACTCCTCACTCCTCTACACTCTACACTCCACACTTTATACTTTAGACTGTACACTCCTCGCTCCACACTTTACACTCCTCACTCCACACTCTACACTCCACACTCCACACTCTACACTCCACACTCTACACTTTACACACTCTACACTCCCCACTCCACACTTTACACTCCTCACTCCACACTTTACACTCCACTCTCCACACTTTGCACTCCACACTCCGCACTCTACACTTTACACTCTACTCTCCACACTCCACACTCCACACTCTACACTTTCCACTTTACACTCCATACTCTACACTCTACACTTTACACTCTACACTTTACACTTCACACTTTGCACTCTACACATCTCTACACTCTACACTCCACACTTTACTCTTTAGACTGTACACTCCTCGCTCCACACTTTACACTCCTCACTCCACACTCCACACTCTACACTCCAGACTCTACACTCCAGACTCTACACTCCACACTCCACACTCTACACTCCACACTCCACACTTTACACTCCTCACTCCACACTTTTACACTTTACACTTTTACACTCTACACTCCACACTCCACACTCTACACTTTACACACTCTACACTCCCCATTCCCCACTCCACACTTTACACTCCACACTCCTTACTTTACACTCCACACTCCACACTCTACACTTTCCAGTCCACACTGCAGACTGGTAACAGGGGAAATATGTACAAGACTGTTCAAATAAACGATTGCAGAAAAGTGTTCTGCGTGACTGCATATATATATATCATGTGTTTCGACATCTGTACCACTAACATACGTGTGAGCATTCGGTTCGTGGGCTGCATCTTGTTTCCAATTATAATCCAATGATTCATCCCAGCCAAAACTGCAATCTTCTCTGGCATTCAAAAATTGTCAAATGTTTTCTTCACCGGCCTTGTGTGTCTGGATACCAGTCGACTCCTTCACAGCCATCATCCGCCCTGCAGGCTGCTTGGCATGCTTCAAGTGATTCGACGGCAGGGACAGGATCGCCCATCACGTCACGATTCTGGAAATCCTGTCGCCGAGACGCTCGTACCATGTTGACCCAACATAGCAAAGATCATGTCATCACGTTGGTCTAAATTGGCGAAATATGATGGTACCCTGTGTTTGGCCCAACCCTTTATGGGGAAGTCTATTGAGAAGGGGGATGGGATTAAATTTGTAGAAAACTATAATTAATCAGAATCCACTTGCAATCCGTTTGACTGGCCAAGAAAAAACTGATCTAACTCAATCTTAGCAGCTGAATTGATTATACATCCGGCTACATTAATTGATATGTCATGTTTTCTCCCACCGTATAGAAGCATTATACCATCCAAATAATGCCGTTGCTGACCCCATGGCGCCTTGCAATAACCCTCATAGTGGGAAAATGCGTCGCGGCAACCCAATCGGAAGGCGCACTGAGCATCATATGGCTCCGCCCCACCTTGAAAAGGCCTCGGAAGTCAACCACCTGGGTGGTCCCTATATGGTTTTTAAATCATGTCTATCGATCTATCGATCTATCTATCTACCTATCTATCTGTCTATCTATCTATCTGTCTGTCTGTCTGTCTATCTCTCTATCTGTCTATCTGTCTATCTGTCTATCTGTCTATCTGTCTATCTGTCTATCTGTCTATCTATCGATCTATCTGTCTATCTATCCATCCATCCATTTATGCATCTATCCATCTCTCTGCCAATGGACAAATAGACAGAAAAATGGACAAAGATATGGACATATCAAAAGACATAAATCCTTTAGAACCATAGCAACTATACATTTATTTATCATCCATGTATCTAACATATCTACAAATCTGCCTATCTGCCTATCTATCTATCTATCGATCGATCTATCGATCTATCTATCCATCCATCTATCTAATCTATCTATCTATCGATCTGTTTGTCTGTCTGTCTGTCTGTCTGTTTGTCTGTCTGTCTGTCTGTCTGTCTGTCGATCTACCTATCTACCTTTCTACCTATCTATCTACCAATCTATCTACCTCTCCATCTCTATCAAACTACCAATCTATTAATTTATCTATCACTACATCAACCCATCAATCTATCCATCTCTCAATCTAATGTAATCAATCCTATCAATCTAATCAATTATTTTCTTTTATCAATCTATCAATCTCTCTTTCTATCATTCTATCAATCTGTCAAACAATCAATCAATCAATCTATCTATCTATCCATCCATCCATCCATCCATCTATATATCTATCTATGTTTCTTTCTATCTACCTATCTACCTATCTACCTATCCGCCTATCTACCTATCTACCTATCCATCTATCCATCTACCGATCTATCTATCTACCGAACTACCTATCTATCTATCTATCTATCTAAATCTATATATCTATCTAAATCTATCTCTCTATCTAAATCTATATATCTATCTAAATCTATCTAAATCTATCTAATTCTATCTATCTATCTAAATCTATCTATATCTATCTATCTATCTATCTATCTATCTATCTACTATCTATTATCTATCTATCTATCTTTCTATCTATCTATCTATCTACCTACCTACCTACCTAATCTATCTACCTACCTACCTATCTATCTATCTATCTATCTGCCAGGATCACTAGATGTATTTGGGAATGAGTATGGGTGGTGCCTGCACTGTTTTCAAAGCCGATCATGGCAATCCCTGGGGTGCAAGCTGCGAACTGCTTGGAGCTTGAGAAAGTGCTTGGAGTGCGTGGTGGTGCTTGATCCATCAGGAATCAAACATACCAGCTGAAGGGGATAATTTTCTTTGCAAAGGGCTTGTACATAGATTTGTTGAAAAGCTCCGTGCCCAAGCCAGTTACAGTGATGATCTCAACGTTTATTTTGCGTATGTCCATCCAAAATTGTCTGACCATTTCTACTGGTTCAATCCCGCAGCTTTTACCTCACATGCGTTTGATTTGTTTTTTAATATTGCCATTACCCTCTGGTAATTTAACATAGCTATTGAAAATGACCATTGAAATGGTGAGTTTTCCCATTGAAAATGGTGATTTTCCATAGTTATGTAAACGTTTACCAGAGGGTATTCCACGCTGGAGACATTGCCAAATCATCAAAAAATGCACGATCGATCTTCCGAGCAGCGGGTGTGAGGTCTCCCCAGTGAGATGGGCCATTTCATACGCGGGACGCGGGGGAATGCGATGACAGTGTGCTCCGAGGAACTGCTCACGATACCACCTCAGCCAGCCACTCCTAGACGAGCTAAACATGGAATTGTCCACTGTTGTCGAATAACTTGACACACACACATGTATACAAATATATATATATAGTAACCGGCTAGCACTTAGAATATTAATCATTGTTTTTTTCGAATAGGTCTATTAGTTACATGATTTTCCTGGGTGAAAACAATATTCTAAGTGCATATCCACAGACGATGCACATAGATTATAAACCTAGTAAAGATGTGCTGAGTTGATCATGAATCAAACCATCATGTTGCATGGCGATGTCCGCGCTGTTTACTTTAGATTTCACTGACCAACGATTTGCTTGGAGAGTCTTGAGATTTTGATAAGGTAAATATATATATACCCCCCTATTCTATGTGGATAAATATTCTATGTGGATGACATTCCAGGAATAGGTTTTGCTATGTATTTTCCATATTCTTAGTGGCACCTATTTATTTTTAATATTCTATGTGCCAGCTGTTTACTATATATATAATAAGAATATGTATCTATACATTACAATATATATATGTGTGTGTACATTATATGGCTTGCTTTGCTGGAGAAAAAGCACACGAAACAAGCGTTGCTAATCCTCAAATGTAAGGGTAAGCCCTCGATATGTTTCTCCACAACATCGTTTCAAACGAGGCGTCGCAAGGTGAGGTCACACCATAATTGACCCAGATAATATGTGGTTATTATACTGTTAATAATGGTTAATATATGGTTAATGATGGTTAAGATATATATATATATATAATTATTTATATATATATGTACAGTATATATACCTGGTTGGTGGTATACCTACCCCTCTGAACAATATGAGTTCGTCAGTTGGGATGATGACATTCCCAATATGCGGAAAAATGATAAAAAAATGTTCCAAACCACCACACCTTTCCACACCTTTCCCAAAGTGGCCTGCTCGTGGTGCGGAGCGAGGCCATTTTCGTTCGAAGCCTAGGCGCTGTGTGCGCCAGCGGGCAAGTCTTGGCCCATTGAAATTGCATACCTCCTATGTGCTTTCACAAGGGGTATCTTTTGCAGCATCTTTGTGCCGCGTCTACACGGTCCTTCCAACTGTGTCAGCAACCAGTGTTCAGCGCCTGCGAAGGCATGGCAATCCCATGGTATCGAAGCTGCATTGACAAAGCTTTGGACTGCTTCTCCTTCCCCTCTGCACTGGGCCAGTGCTACTGATTGGCCAGTAGATTTCCAAAAGAGCTTGAGAAAACGCCTAAACCATTTCAGCCTGTGAAGAAAAGGGTGTTTGCCAGCGTCCAAAAAGGGCCGTGTGGTTGCGTCCAGCCAAGTAGAGCCATTAACTGGGCCAGGGCAACCAAACGCCAGCTGGTAATCAATGTACAAATGAACAAAAGTTATCCATCGCACTGATCCAGCCGTGGGCGCCGACGTGCGTGTGCGCCACCAAGTTTCCAGTCTGCTAGTGAGCCCATAACCATATTCCTGAGACAAGGCGGGCGGAATTCCACCCCTCCAGCTTCCAACAACAAACTGTGTAGGGAACTCTCGGGCATGTGGCTTACCAGGTTCGCTGGGCAGAGTCACCTCATCCAGAGTCTCTTCCGCACTTGAACTGATACTTCGTCTCGCAACCCCAAGGTGGAGCTCCACAGCTTGGTTGTGTAAGACCTCCGCGGCTAAAACATTCTGTCTGTGCTGCGTCCACAACGTCCAAAACGCCTCTGATCTGGCCATGTTGGTCGCTTTCGCAAGCTTGTCAACCTCTTGATTGTGCCAAAACATCCATGCTTCCCTTCTGTCTCTCGCCTGGGCAATGGTTTTGTGCGCCGGCGTCTTGATCAGCTTCACATTGGCCTCTCCAAGTCTGTCAACTGATTGCAGTATCCAGTACCAAAGGTCGGAGCTGGCACTGTTGCATTTCAGCGTCACTTTCCCAGAAGTGAGATACCTATTTATCACCGCCAAACAGTCACAAAAAAAAATTACCCTGAAGCCTCCAATTGCTGCATGGTGCAAAACATAGGCAACAGCGTACAACTCAGCACGGTAGGACGTTTGACAAAGACCTGGCAGACACCCGGAACCAATCACCCCGTCAAAGGACAGATTCCAAGCAGGATCACACGGACTGGCAAGGATGGCTCCCCAAGCCGCCACACGGAAACCGGGGTTCGACTGCCACAAACAAGAGCCATCAGTGAAAACCTCAGACCAGCCACAGGAACGAAACGGAGCACCCAACGGAGGACAAACAGTAGGAACAGAATCCAACAGACGGAGCCACGCAAAGTGAGTGGGCGGCAGGAGAGCCCAAGAGCGCAAAACCAAGGCATCTGGCAGCTGGGGACGCAAGGCAGTGATGAGCGGTGCATGTTGAAGCCGCAGGTCTTCCGTATGCAGGCACTCAAAGTACCGATGTTGCAGCGAATCTTTGGCCCCGCACCATTTACAACCTCCGGCTGTGTGAAGAGTGCTCCCGCAAGGCTTAAACGCAACAACATTTGGTCGTCTATGGGCAGTGAGGCAAGCTTGGCTCTGGTGCGTGTTGGGTCGGCAAAATCCAAACCACCATAGTCTTTTCTGTGTGCAACATCAGCAGCAACTTTGGAATTCCATTGCCATTGGAGTCTGTGACACAGTTCCGTGAAATTGATGGTACCAGGGTGGAAAATTCCAATCCTGTCTTCCCAACATCCCGAAGGGTGGACCACAAAACCAAGGGGTTGGAAACGGTCAAGCAAAACGCTAACAGGTGAAGAAGCTGGGCACTGCAGGTTACCGCTCGCCGCCGGGAAAACTTGACTAGCCCAAAAGTCCAGGGGGCATTGGAGTCTGGTTTCAGCTACGGTCCTCACAACCGCAACGAACTCAGGGTCAGCATAGCTTTCAACAAGCCCTAACAACAGCAACGGGTTGACCCCCGCCTTGTCCATTTGGAGTGCATGCGTAGCACGTCTACGCTGGGCAAGCCATGTGCTCCGGCTAACTGGGGCACTTTCAACTGCAAACAACCCACGGGGCCAGGCCACAGTCCTAACCGCTCTGAGTTTGGCTTTGTAGCCTGCACGGCTGCGCTTGAGTTGATCCCAAAAGTCAGTGAGATCTTCCAGGCGGCCTGTGATGGACTTGTTTGTTCGCTGTCTGGTGAAAGCTATGTGTGCTCCCAAGTCTTTGGTGTGCTGAAGAACTGGAAGACCTGTGCTACGCAGCTGCCTTCGCACTTCAGGGTCGGTTGACCATGCAAAGGTTTTCTTACGATCTACCGTCAAGTCGGCGAGCTTGGTGAAGGCAAGCAGGGCGTCCAGCTGTTTACATGCGGCATCTGGGTCCCATGTCATAAAATCCCAATTGTCAACAAAACTGAGCACCCTCAAAGTGGGGTATTGGGCTGCCATGAACCTGTGCATGACATCATCGAGGAGCAACATACCAAAACAAGACATGGCACAACCCTCTGCAAGGCCAGTGCTAGTAACAAAACCTGGGCTATAGGAGTCACGGACCTTGAAACACCTTGTCATGGCTGCTAAGGCTCCAGTCCAAGCTTGCATGACTGGCTGTGGAGTGCCGGCATGAACTGCCGTGGCCAAAACCGGCCACCTTGGGACCCAGGGAGGCAGTTAAAGCATTTCTCTATGTCCGCGGTGAGCCCGCTCAGAGGGATCTGTTGATCATGCGCTTGTTGTATACTGGCGACCAAAACCCGCCAGAGCTGGAACGTCTGGTGTTGGCGGCGATTCCCATGTATGTCTTGGTGGGCCCATTGGTCACACCAGTGCAGCAGTGCTCTTGCTTGTAAACCACTGTAAGCCCTGTAAAGCAAAGAAAAAACAGTGATTGGCCTGTAATCATTGGTGGATTCAGCCCCCTCACGTTTGGCCAACGAAGCCACTCTGCCTGTCAAGGTTTGAAGAGGCCAGTCACCACTAAGTTCCGCCCGGGCAAACATGGAGCAAAAACTCGCAAGTTGGTGGGGGTCAGCTTGGAGAACATCCAGTCTACTAACACCATCAAGGCCAGTAGCAGCATGGGCTTTTTTAGAGGCAACTTCTGCACGCAACATCTCAGGTGTGATGCGCAAAGGGCTGGTGGGCTCATGTGGGACATGCTGTCGTGCAAATTCCACCAACTGCTTCCAGTGGCTATGTGGAATGGCATCATGGCGGCACCATCTCTTTTGCCATTGCTCATGAAAAGCCTGGAAAATAGCCTGTAGTGAACCCACTGGTTTGGTCTGTGTCACTTTCCCTCCTGGCTGAGTTTTGGGCATGGAGTCCAAATACAGTTTGTCGTCAGTGGCGTGGATGATGGAGACAGCTTGGCCATCAACAACAACTGGCTTCAAAGGATCAAAACTGCACTCGGGTGCAAATTCAACCGCAACTGCTTCTGGATCCGTGTCAGTGACTTTTGCTGCTGTGGTGTCAAGAAGGCTAGTCACTGGCTCAGGCATGGGTCGGCGGGTGTCTTTATAAACCAGGTTGGGATTACTAAGGTGCATGCTGGTTTTGGCAGTGCGGCGGGCAGCATTAAGGGTGACTTCAAGACTACGGAGTTCACAGTTAAAGGCTTCACAAAACGCCAGTGCAGTCATGGCATCAGGAGGACAAACTGGAACAACCACTGGGTCACCAAAGCCTACACACCATCGGTGCGACCACCATTGTGAAAAGGACGGCCAAAATCCAGGTGCCTGCAGGATGCTTTTCCACAGGTACAGACCATGTAAGGCAAGTTGGGTATTGGCATGACCAAAATGTACTGAAGCCCACCTGTGGTAATTTTGAAGCCTACGCAACTGCTTGACCCATCGTGCATGCTGAACATGGTAACCATGGAAAAAGGGTTGTGCATCTTGACTGCGCCCTTTCTTTGGTGGGGCAGCCCATCCTTTCCTAGGTTTTGGAGCAAGTTGTTGGCCTCGCCCATGCATGTTGCGTTGCCATTTATCCTGAAGTGCCTGTTGAGCTTGAGTTTCTTTGTGAGCCCAGAGTTGCTTGTAGCATTCAGTTGGTGAACCCTGAGCAAAATCCACTGGCTGAGACATGGCTGGCACATCATTCCAAGGGATGGCTTGGGGTGTGGGCCACAAAAACCGCATCGTAAAGGCTGCTCCGACATGAAACTTGGCTATCAAAACTGAATGGTCCGCAAATCGAGTGTGGTCAACGGACAATTCTGCAAAACTGGCAACAAGTTCCGGCGACAGCCACAACATGTCTTTCCTGGTTCGACCTTTGCAAGTGACTTGGGGTGTTTGCCCAGAGCGCAAGTACTCAAGGTCTTGAGCTTCTTTCCATCCTAGGTTACTCAAAATTTGGGTGGCCCTGAGCTGTGGCATGTCATGGTTCCAATCACCAGCCATGTACCTCGGGCCAGTGGCTACCCTTGTCATGTGATCAACCATGAAGTCAAGCGCAAGGTTGGTCTTCTCAAGTGCATTGGTATGGAGTTTGCCCTGTGGGTACCCATACAGTGTTGCACCTGTGGTCCAAACTTCATTGACAAGTGAGGCCGTGATTTGGGCACGGCCGGTTTCAAAAAGGTCAGGCGGCCAATTTGCGCACAAAGCCCTGGTGGGAACACGGGCCACTGTGGCCACTCCTGTGTAATGGCCAGCATCACTGGAAACTACTCTGGGGCTGATGGTGCCCCTGTGACAACATAGTGGTAGTTGCTATGCGATTTCAAACTTGCCGCTAGCATGGAACGAGAAACCTTGGTAAGGTGTGTTTCACTAACTCAGATGACATCTGTGTTGATGCCTGCAAGCAAAATGCTCTTCCCTTGTAACCCCGAGGGGTTACAGACCCCGATGGACCAGGTGCTTTCTGAAGGAACTTCCGACGGTCCTGGCGTCTTGGCTTCTCCAACTCTGCACTCTGCTCCAAGGAAAAAGTTGGCTACCATCAGGAGCCACATGAAAAGTCTGGGTGCCCGAAAACAACGGCTAGCCACAGGTTGGGCTTTGGATCTGCGGCTACCACACCATCATTCATAGCGCCCTTTCTTGGAGAGGATCCCTTCCAACTTCGTCATTTGATCCTCAAACATGCGGGCTATCTGAACCCCTTGTACTTCCATTTGGGACATCATCTGGGCCTGAAGGCTGGAGACCTGGGCGGTGTGCTGCTTGTGGTGTTCGGTCACTGAGCTCTCAAGGTTTTGCTGACGCGAGGTCAATTGCTGCATCTGTGTCTCTAAAAGGTGCAAACGGTCTGAGGTGTCGTCCACTTCCATGCGGTCTTGAGGCAACTTCTGCAACACTGATTGAGCCACTCTGTCCTCCATCTCTTGCCAGTTGGTGACAACACTTGGTGCAGCTGGCATGGGCACTTTGTGCAAGGCCTGTTGCCATGGATCCTTGGTGAGCCATGGGTCTTTGCGTGGATGCAGTCGCACACAACTCGACCGTGCTCTGAGGGCCCGCAACTGAGCCAGCTTCAGTCATGCCTTCTCGGATGGAGTCAACCTTGGAAATCATGACCTGCCCATGCTGCATGTTGTAAACGGTGTTGGGAGGGTCTTCCACCGATTGTATCAACCACATGAGTCCACCATTGATGGGCTTGGCTGGCTGCAAAGGGCGTGCCTGCCACTTCCAATCACTGAAAACCCTGCTGAGAGACTTGCGATCACATCCATAGGGCCAAGGGCCACAGTGCCACACCTGTCGGGTACCTGGTGAAAGGAAAAGTCCATCCGGTTCCAGCTTTTGGAACACCTGTTGGTATTGGGCTGCGGTGACACGAATGCCATACCGTGCTCCTGATCTTGCTAGGCCAATGCCCATGGGCTCACATTGCAACTGATGCTGCGCAGTCGGAAAGGTGGCTTGAGGCAGCCAGACCACTTGGTATTCATCGCTGGGAACTGTGGCATCTGGAACACGGGGTTCAACATAAAGTCCATGGTGTCCTGACAAACGGAGTAAGGCCGTTTCCTGCATTTTCAGATATCTGACCTGAACGCTGAAATGCGTTGCATTGGCTGGTCTTGTTGGTCGGCCCCCATCAGTGAAAAACTGTCTACGAAAAACGTCTAAGAGGACCTCAGTGGCAGGGAGTTGTGGGTCCTGATGCCAAAGATCGCACTGACAGTTCTCTTTCCTGCATGTCTGCAGAGGCTGCAAGAGGGCGAGCATTTGTTTGAACGGGTGGTCAGCAAACTCACTCCAGTCCCCAGGCCATTGGTCAGCATAAACCGTGAGACGGGCACATGCAACAGGCACATTTCCTACAGCTGATCCATCGGTCTTGAAATAGGGCTCGACTGGGACACTTCCAAGTTGGACCAAAAACCCTGACAGCAAGACTGGTTGTTGATTGACAGAACATTTGGCTGCAAACCGCAATGTGGACCACGGGAGGGTTGTCTGCAAATCATCCGGGCCATTGACAATCAGCAGTGCCAAACTTTGGTGAGTCAACAGCTTACCTGCCTGTAGGAATGGCAGGGCATCTTGGTAGGAAACCAGTGCAACACCGACTGCAAGGGGACCGACTTGGGACAATGCAATCTGATGGGCTGAGACACCATCTCCGGTGCGGAAAGTGTCTTCTGCAATCATCAATCTGGCTGGATCGACATCAAAGGTCTTGCTTTGGTTTGGTTGGAACTTCTGTGGCTGCTTCTTCTTACCTTTGGGCTGTTTCGCTTTTCGGTCCTGAGTGGCTGTGGCAAGTTCATCTGGCAAGACAAGCTGAAAGGGTGGTTGCTGTTGGTTTGCTAGACTTTTGATAGTCTTCCACGGTGACCCACCTTGGACAGCTTGTTTGATTGGGTCAAAACCAATGCCCTGGATCAGTAACTTTGCTCTGGCAACTGACGCGGCTGCAGGGACACCATGTTGTTGCAACAATGTGGACGTGACACTGACAACATCAAAAGAACCTGCACCCCAACTCCATGGTCTGGTAACCAGCGTGACATCAAGGTGGGACAGTTGAAAATCCAGTCTGAGACCATCGGCTTGTTGCTGCAAGGCTTCCTCAGTGCTTGGCAGTGTGACTCCATTCAGCAGGGACTTCAGAAAAACAATGGCTGCAGCACCACACATGTTCTTTCCAAATTGGCGACGTGTCGTGACGAGTTGAAAGCCAGCAACCCCAAGAACCCTGCACATCATGCCATGCAGTGGGTTCAGTGGATTGACATCAGTTTCTTCATGGTCCCAAAGCAGAACCTCAACCTTATCCACTCTGGCAATCCACAAACACGGTGTCCAATGACCGTCATGCAGAACAACGGATGCAATCTTGGCTGCGGTGGCATGTTGGGCGCGCCAGCTTTCAAGTGCTGCAGTCTGGTTGGTAAGCAGGCATGTTGTGGCAAGCAATGGATCCAAAACTGCAAGGTCCCCACCTCCATGTTGCGTGACTATTGTCTGCAAGTGCCTTAGAATTTCGTCGTCGGCCCAGATCATGTCTTGCTTTGCAAGAAGCGCATTCCGGGTTTTGACAGTGATGGTGGGCTGTCGCATGTTGTGACAAAGGTCAAGGTCATGAACCAGTGGTGGAACTTGTTGTACAAACTGCTTGGCATGCAAAGACAACAGGGACAAGACCATGGCATCTTGGTTGGACGGCGGGCATGGGTGGAGGACATGACCGGGACCATCCGCAGGGCAAATGATTCCAGGGACATCAAGTTCAACTGATGTCATTTCAACATCCGGGCCATCTGGTTGGGTCGGCAGGACGACATCCTCCAGGCAACGGCAACCTACTGACTCAGGACCTGACTCTGGCTCGGCACATGACATGACAAGGTCAGTACAAGACGACACGGCAGTCTTGGGACCAGACATGGACTCGGCTGTAGGCTTGGCATTTTCCATACTGGACGCGACGACCGACAGGGGACATGACAGGGACTCGGCTGCAGGCATGGCATGGTCTGTACACATCTGTTCGGATGTTCGTACCTGGACGGATGCAAACATGGCCAGTGCAAGTTCCTGATGGATCACAACACCTGTGTCATCGGCAACGCAAACCTGGTCAGGGCTGACACCGTGAAAAGTGGCATACGCTCTGATGAAAGACCCTACTGTTGCATTTGCGTCATGTTGGAGTTCCCATGCAAAACCAATTTACTCCCGCACAATCAACTGGTGACCGGTTGGCTGAGTCAGTGTTTTCGGGATCATGGGGTACATGTCTTTGGCATGGCAAAACATCTCTTTCTTCAGCTCTGACAGCAGTTGAAGTTGTTCAACTGGGGGTTCATGTGTGAACAGTTGCTGCAGGTGCCTATTCAAAGACGCTCCTACCCACAACGATTGCATGGGGGCTGCCATCTGCCCGATTGCACAAAGGTTGAGCCTCTGGTCTGTGCTCCACTGGTGCATGGCTGGGACTCCGTTCAGAAGTGCAACTTCAAGGACGTGTAAGTGGTGCCAAGAACCTGGGCTGTCGGATTGCTGCGGCAATTGGAGCAACTGCGCATACACTCCTTTGGCTGTCAAAAGTGCATCACTGAAACCTTGAGACCTGCAATCACATGCACAACCTTGTGTTTCACCACCCCATGAATGGAGAGCTGTGGGTAATTTGGCATCTGGTTTGACTGCATAGGATCTGAGCGGTTGCCCAGCCAATTCAAAACGCTCTAACTCCTGGTTGTTCAAAAGAAGTTGGTTCTCATCATCTTCTGGCCATCTTTTGACATATGGCATGAGATCACGTACAAGGAGTGGCGATTGTGTTGGCCATGCTGGGATCTTCACTGATCCAATGGTGTCATGAGTTGCCAAGACCCACCATCTGTACCTGAGAGCTGACCAAACATTCTCCAGTTTCAACGTACGTTGGACTACTTTGAATCCAAGTTGTTCCGAAAAGGCTGCAAGGTGTTTCTGGACATATCCATTTGCCTGAGCTGGGGTCACACATTCGATGATCAGAGCCGGAACTTGCAAATGGTGTGCCAACCTCAGTGTTGCCGGAAGGGTTCCAGCTCTCATGTCGTCTTCCCCATGTTGGAGACCACCTCTGGAGTATGGCTGACATGCAACGCCGGACATAAGCAAACCTGGGTTAGAACAGTGGTGAAAAACCTTGGCTGCCACATCATCTTGGGTGATGTCTGCGCAAACGACTGGGACATTGACATGGAGTTGACGGTGCAAGGCTGCCAACTTAGGTTGGAGTTCAACCGAACAACAGTGACGAAAACCAGCACGCTCCAGTCCAAAAGACGAAAGTCCAGCACCAGCACAAACCTCAACCAAATTGAACAGACGGTCAAAGGTAACAGGACAATGACAAAGGACGGTGCAGCTGTCATTCAACTCCAAATCCACAATCGGGGCAGCAGACAAGAACACAGCATCAACCACAGTGACACAGGACGCGTTGAAGGCTTCAGGGGGGATAAGTCCACTGAGTCTAACAAGTTCACTGCCAGGTGTGACCTTGCCTATGCCTGCATTCTGACTCCACACCAGTTGATTGATCACCACCGTTGTCTTTGAACCGGTAGCGAGGCATGACCAAACAGGTTTGAACAGGGAATCGAAACATGGCTGGGCATCGGTACCTAACATCTTTGGGGTCAAACCACCCAAAAATTGGCCGGCGCGACCTACCCCTGGCAGGTTTTTGGGCCCAGGCTTTCCAAACCACCAACCAGAATACTCCATGATCATATCATATCCCACTTTATCCCGCTTTGTCTCCATTCTACCAGTATTTTGATTGGTGAAATCAGTGAAACACCCCCCAATAGACTCCAAATGTCAGTCCTGATATCATGCTAAGATCTGCCCAATGTACCAGGGCGGCAGCGCGGCAAGGGCCAAGCCACTCCACAGCTTCGCAGAGTGAGTCTTCCATGCAAGCATCTTGGCACGCGCTGAAACGAGCGATGTCTGGCAGTGGTTCGGACTTCACGTTGCTGCCGGAATAGTCCCTGGATGCGGTTCGAAAACTGTGAAAGGGGTTGGTGAAAATGATGGCAAAATATGTGTATATATATATATGCGTATAACTTAACATTTTATAACATATACCTGGAGCTTCAAAAGTACACTAATTTCTGCTCGAGCAAATTTCTGCTCGAGGAACCCAAATCTGCTCGTTGTACCAATTTCTGCTCGAGGTCCAGCTAGATTTGAAAACAACCACTTTTCAAATGTGCGCTCGTTTGCGGGAAATTGCGCTCGATTGCGGGAAATTGCGCTCGTTGCGCGGCCTGATTTTTTTGGAATCAGTGACAGTCAGTGAAAACTCAAGACGTGCTCGATTTGCCAAAAAACATATACGAACAAGCAAACAACCAGAAATTAATGCTCGTTTGAAGATCAAGGTATATATATATATATATAATGTGCAATCACAAATAATTATACATATATGTATATATATATATATGTAATTACATACATACATATATGCATTCAGACCCTCGTTGGTCCTTTCTCTCTCTCTCTCTCAGAATAACTGATAACATACCCGCAAACAGTACGTTCGATTCCATTACATTCTAAGTATGCGCTATATATTCATCTTATACACATGTGCACAAATATGCGCCGTGCAGCCTGACTTGACTTAAGGGATCACAGGAAACCATCCTGCAGTGTTATACCTTGAAGTGTTGGGTTTCCTGATTTTTTTCACCCACAAGATATGGCAATATGCCGAATATGCCTCTAGAATCCTTTATATGCCTTTAACCATGGCCATGCAAGCTTGATGCTGAAATTCTTATTTTGATTATTTTTGATTCCTAGCTGCGTATGATATTCATTTTCCGGCATCAGAATCACTGATGATCACACCATTGTTGAGACAAACATCCCATTGCAGCATCGTATCGTTGATTCCACCACTGCTGCCGTTGCTAAACTGCAAGAATTATTCCCGGTGGATCTATCCACACTTTGACCACCAATTAAGCTGGCATTCACCAAGACTTTTATACCAAATCTGTCATGGGCTGGGTCCAATTTTCCGCTGGAGTACAGTCTACAGTGTATGTGGTTTTTTTTGTTTGCATGAAATAACGTGCTCCTCCCTATGTATTTGGTGACATCTTAGATATTCCCGGAAAAAATGCACACTAAGCTACCAGTCACCATGGTTTACCCAGTTAAAGTATATCAAAATGCCAAACTGTTCATGTCTTATCACGTTTTATGGTATGTTCTATGGTACTTTCAATTTTCAATGCTATTTTCCAAATATCCACATGTCTCCTGTTTTTGCTGAGATCAAAGCCACGATTTGCTCCTGCCATCCCCATCCCCCCACCTGCACGCCCCTGATTGAGTTATCCAATGCCCAAAGTCCGTCCCGCCGTCCGCAGCCACCAAGGCCGCCAAGCAGGCGCCCGCGGGGAGGAGCCAACGCATTGGGGTCCGATGGCTCTGAGCATGTGAACCACTGGGTATCTAATGGTTCCTGTTTTGAAAACTGACTCAGATGCTGGTTTCCATCCGCAACGGATTTCAAGTCCATTGATTGGTGGTTGATGTTCAATATGAAAATGGCAACTTGGGTACCTGGATGATCTGAATCAAAATGAATCGTGGCTACCCAAGCATGTGGATGTTAAATGATATTAAATGCAGTTGATACGAGCACCAGAAACATGAGCAAAACTGCGGTGAATCTGAACTCTTAACTCTGATGAGAACCGCTAACAGCTGGATGATTCCGATAATGTATCTTTTTTGGATAGAACCTATGACTCCTATGACTGTTTGATGGTTTCAACATGTTTAAACCTTCAATGTGTTGTGCATTCCCCTGACCCGAAAGCAATCGTTTTTTTCGTGAAGCCGTTAGCACCGACGCAGATGATGGGTGACGACGACGGTGATGGATTCATGATCAAAATTGTGAGTTTCGAAATTCATAGCTATTATTGGCGTTACTAATCAAAAACATGAGCATGACAAAAACAAAAAATAGTGTTCAAAACTAATATGATATTAATTCATACCCATATTTATAGCTTACTAATCTACAATTGGCGTTAATAATTTTAATATTTTTTCTGATAGGTCAATTGGCGTATCTTGACAGTTTCTGGCATCCCGAGAATCCCACGGTGAAAAGTTGCGGCTCTGTGGGAACAATTGCTGTTTTCAAACAACCCCATATGGCCCATATCTATCATAAAGTTGGTAACTGTCCTCTGCAACCTTACACACCCCCATGATCTTATCACAATATTACATATTATTACTATATTACTATTGATTTCCCTATGACTAATGAATGCTTGTATCATGTTGTATCCACATTCCCATTTATCACCAAACAAATGGTCTGCTAAATCACCATTTCTCTCATGAGTTTCCCTAATCTTGCTGGTTTTACTGGTTTTACCCTGTAAAGCCACTGTAAATCCCTAAAAATCCCAATAAATCCGACAAATCCATTACAACCCCTATAAATCACCATGATTGTTGAACCCCAATTGATTGCAACACACCCGCTTCCGCTTGCCGGTTCGGTGTCAGATCTGGCACCTCCCTCCAAGAGACATCGGCAGAGATCCACAGCCCCACTGCACGCCTCGGACCAATCTTCAGGCTGGATTCAAACAAAAATTGGGATTTTACCAACGAAAATATGCCAACACATTCATATGGCTTTAACCAGCGAACACTTGAATTTAACTAGTCAAGAAACTCATCAAACTGGGATTCAACAAAAGAAACAAAGTGGGATTTAAGCTACGGGAGTTCAGCAACACACCGGTGATTTCACCATCAAATCATGATTCAGGGCCAACATAAGGAGTTTGAATCAGCACACATGGGTTTTATTATTATCAACCCATCAAACGAGGGTACAATAATCCAGGTCCAAGTGCTTAAGCACTTCAGTTGTAAGTTGGCTTAAAACCCCTCTTAATTGCCTTAGCAAATTGGGGGTCGTCCCCGTGAGGCATGAAGCGACCATGTTTAACTTCCGGTAGCCCTCAGAAAAAACGATAACAGATTGAAAGTGAGAAAACATTAGACATCATTAATCTATCCTATATATATATACTTTATACAATATTATGCAATATAATATATTGCTACCACCCCAAACAAAAAAGAGGGAAAAACAACAAACACGTGGCCAGTACCGAACAAACTTAGGTCTAATCCCACAGTGACATTTTTTGTCCATTCGATCCAAGTCAAATCCTACTCAATCACTTCAATGCTCAGTCACTGACCGCAAGCAACAATGTTAAGTTCATCCTACCTAGCCATACCTGGCCTATTGATTCGTGGTTTCCACCGCGGTCTGGGTAGATGAACTTGAAATAACGCCAAAAATGAGGGGGTGATTCCTCTAATCCGTCGTTGTCACCCGAGTCCCAAACCGGACAAAACACCCGCTATCACTGGGCCCTTTCCCGTAGTAATATCCACCTATTAGAACCTCTTGTTGGCCCTGTGATAAGAGGGATGGGATTATACATTATACATGGGCACTCTTATAGATAGATAGATTATATAGATAGATTAGATGGATGGATGGATGGATGGATGGATGGATGGATAGATAGATTAGATAGATTAGATAGATTAGATAGATTAGATAGATTAGATAGATTAGATAGATTAGATAGATTAGATAGATTAGATAGATTAGATTGATTAGATTGATTAGGTTGATTAGATTGTTTAGATTGATTAGATAGATTAGATAGATTAGATAGATAGATTAGATATATTAAATAGATAAGATAGATAAGATAGATAAGATAGATACGATAGATAAGATGAAATATATAAGAAAGATAAGATAGATTAGATAGATTAGATTGATTAGATTGATTAGCTTGTTTAGATTGATTTGATAGATTAGATAGATTAGATAGATAGATTAGATATATTAAATAGATAAGATAGATAAGATAGATAAGATAGATACGATAGATAAGATGAAATATATAAGATAGATAAGATAGATAATATAGATAATATAGTTAAGATAGTTAAGATAGATAAGATAGATAAGATAGATAAGATAAATGATACAATAAAGAAGATGAATAAGATGGATAAGATGGATAGGATGGATAAGATAGATAAGATAGATACGATAGATAAGATAGATAAGATATATACACATATAGATAGAAAGATAAGATAGATCAAATATATATATATATATAGAGAGAGAGATCGATAGATCGATAGATAAATACATAGATAGATAGATAAATAGATAGATAGATAGATGGATCGATCGATAGATAGATAGACAAACAGACAAACAGACAGATCGATAGATAGATTACTTAGATAGATAGATCGATAGATAGATAGATAGATGTATGGGTAGATAGATGTATGGATAGATAGATGTATGGATAGATAGACAGATGGATAGATAGATAGATAGATGGATAGATAGATAGACAGACAGACAAACAAACAGACAAACAAACAAACAGACAAACGGACAGACAGACAGACAAACAGATAGATAGATAGATTAGATAGATAGATGGATAGATAGATAGATTAGATTAGATTAGATTAGTTTAGATTAGATTAGATTAGATTAGGTTAGATTAGATAGATAAGATAAGATAAGATAATATTAGGTTAGATTGGAATAGATAAGATATATACATAGATAGAACAATAGATAGATAAATAGATAGACATACAGACAGACAGATAGATAGATCGATAGATAGATCAATAGATAGATAGATAGATAGATAGATAGATACCCGGCCTTACTCATGGACAATCTCCCACCTAGTTCGATGTTTCTCCCATGAACATGCGCATTTCGTTTGGGGATTTCTCAGCTAGCCATCTTTCATGACACCGGAGACAACCTGTTCGCCAAGGCTTCCCGAGGTTCTGCTTGATTCTATAGCAACCCCCAGTCATAGAACAATTGGAACATGTTGAACATGTTTGACAATTGAGGTAAATATAATTCCAGAATAAAATACCAGATTTCTATTAATGATATATATATATATGCATGATGAATAAATAATGGTATATAATCTTATGATCATCTATACCATCCTGGAATAAAATCTTCACCCACAAACGGGGCTTCCAGGCCTTCCAGGCCTTCCACCCCAGGATTCAAGACCTACCAACAAGTGTTAAATTAATGGTCTTGGAAAGGTAGGAAACCTAGAAGATCATATCAAAATGTGTAATTACACATATTATGTACATAATTGCAGGTGTATATCATGTATATCCGTTTCATTCCGTTTCTACTTCCCCCAACTCCGTTGATAAGGTTCTCTGCGCCAGTCCGCAAGGTCTCTTTTTTCTGAACATCTATCTACCGCAAAGCACGGCGCAACTAGCTAGCCGCAGCTGGTCAACCAGAAGGATGTGTGGCACAATTTTGTGAATCAGATTCTTGTTCCCTGAATTTTTGTCATGATGTTGACATCAATTGGATTCTGTTGCCAATCTAATTACTATGTTTCAAACGTTGCAAATCAATTCTATACATCCGAGTTGAAATTCCACCAAATTCTATGTCCATTTATACTACCGTACCTAAATGTGTATATACTGTATACTGTATATAAATATGGAAAAACAAAGTTTCCCAAATAAAATGATCTGCAAATGGTCCCGTAACATTATATTTATCTTACATAGAACAGGGCATATCTATCTATGTATATGTCAATTTCATGACTGGGTTTATGGTATATAATCTATATATCTACAATCAATCCCCCAAAAAAGTACAAATGGTCCAATTATCTATGTTGCGTAAAATAGTATAACAGCTCTATGACATGAATTTCATCCCACTGCCATGGCCTTTAGAAAGGCGATTCGACTGCCCGACTGCCGCGTCAGTTGATCTTTGGGTCTGAGGATTCCAAGACGGCGCTGCTACCGGTGAAACGCCTAAGGTGGAGCCGAGATTGAACGGAAACAATTCGTGAAAAAAATAAGATATGAATGGATATAAACACACACATATGTATAATATATATATATATTGCTCTGAATATATTATATATATATAGAATTATATTATGTATAACATCTGTATTGCATGATTGCTTGAATTCGTAAAACTGGTGCTGAAGAGATATACCGACATAAAAATCTATACATTACTTGATACATTTACATAAGCAATATATAATTACATAAATCTGTTGGGGCTTTTTCGGTAATGAGGACGTGGGCGAGGTCCAACTGCGATTTTGTCCATCCCAGTTGATCACAATTTTTATGGGTTGTATTAACCACCCCCAATTAGTAAATATTGTATAAATGGGTTGTATAATTAAATTCGTGCCCTCTGGTAAACTAACAGTTTGCTATGGAAAATCACCATTTTTAATGGGTAAATCCACAAACTCAATGGCAATTGTCAATAGCTATGTTAGTTTCCCAGAGGGTATCCCCAATGGGTTGTATAATTAGTATCCCCAATTGTATAAATGGGTTTATCGCATTGGGTGTACCACACTAGTATATATTCCCATTTATGGCAAAGAATTACAGATATTACAGGATCCAACCATACGTCACCAGTCGATTGTCCTGAAACAACCACGAAGCATGAAATACTATGGGACGTCATGTAACATTAATCTAAAGCCCAGCAGTCAGAAACATAATCTCTTACCCTCTGGTAATCTAACATAGCTATTGTGGCCATAGAAATAGTTGATTTACGGATCTTTCCATAGTTATGTAAACGTTTACCAGAGGGTAATTGACCCTCCAGTAATCAAACCTGGCTAGCTGGAAAATCCACCGTTTCCTTATGCTTCAACCCCGACAAAAATCCCCATGATTTAAGCTGACCCCCCACAACATTAATGTTGGTCCTTCACCCTGCACGTTGCACACATAAACGGAAAAAATATGAAAAAAGTGTTCTTCAAATATCTTCAAATCATCTTTTTTCCCGCTAATCGCAGAGTGTGTTGCTTGAATCCTTAAATCCACATGTTGGCTTGATCTCTGTCTTTGATTAAACCCAACATCACATGCAATCTCCATGTGTCGCTTCGTGAAATTCTCAACGACTCACCATGTCTGCCCATATTTCTCTGAAAACAGGTTATCCTAAATCCACTGGTTGATCATACTTTTCCCTATCTGATCCAAATAATACCCCAATTGCAGACCTCCAACTATCATGCATATCAAGTTGGTTAGTTACATACGAGTACAACTAAACTATATTAGAATACTCTCCACCATATCCATCTTTTCGTTGGTCCAATCCCCAGTTTTGTGGTTATAGCCCCATTCGCCACTACTATCCCATTATTATCATTATCCACATTGAATCCCATTGCATTATCGCTAGTATGCTAGTCTTGTTGGTTGAACCACCAGTAAACCCCCATTAATATTAATCACAAAATTATATCCCATTAATCCCACTATATCTCATATTATTGCCATTGTTCATAGCCAAATCAACATAAAATCACATAAAATCACATGGTTTCAGCGTTTCAGGACTGGAGTTGGGGAAACGACGATTTTTCTTCCCATATTATTATCCAATATTATTCCATCATATCCAATGTTTATCCTTATCCCACATCTGCCAATCAATCCCATAATAATTACATTCAAACCCCCGTTATATCCCATCATCCACATGATCATATCAAATATAACCTCCACATGATCCACATTATAATCCCATTTGCCACATTATAATCTCATATATAGTTGATTTCCCTATTAAAAATGGCGATTTTCCATAGCAAACTGTTAGTTTACGAGAGGGTATCCCGTAGCCAAGTTGCTGCCACAGTGATGCGACGGCACCTTCAGCTGCTTCGACCCGGCCTGCGATCTCCATTTTTTTGGAGACTCAAAGATCTCGGGGTTGGAAACCCAACAGAAATGGTAAGGGAAATTTTGGGAAATATAGAAAGATCTTGGTCATATCGAATTGGTTTCAGAACACTTTGAAAAATTGAGAAACGATGGAAAAAAAAACAACACAAACGTTGTTTCCAGGATTCATTCTCTCCAACCAACCCATGACAAAGGGCACATGTGCAGCAAAGATAAAAACTGAACATAGTGTACTTGAATCATTGAAACTTATCGAGATCATGTTGGTTATTTATTTGAACTATACCATCAAAATAACTATGTCATTCAAACAGGTTGGGCCACGGATCCATCAAAATATGTGTTTCTATACGGAGATTGAAACAATCATTAAAGTTTTGGGATGCACGTCTAAAGAAAAACTTTCAGCAGAACTATGTTAAGGCTTTCCTCATGTTCGACAGATACAGTACACAAAAGTCTAGCTGTCTAGATGGTTTTGGCGGCTAGCATTTCGTAACCCGCTTGTCACTCGCAATATCTCAGGCTAGTATGATAAATTACATGCACGAATGACTGTTGTCAGGGCAGCCGTGCAGCTAGAGCATGTGGTCAAACGAACGGTTGACCCATGTTGACCCTATATAATTTTTCATTTTTTCTTCATGTACATATTGTATGCAAATATATTTCTGCATTCTGCCCGGCAGGAACAATATGGAACAATGGGGATCACGTCAAGGAAAAGCTGTTCCAAACAGTGTCTGAATCGTGCCAAGAGAGCACCTTCCAACAACTCACGCAATGGTCCCTGGCGATGGCCGCGAGACCCCTATTGGTGCTTTGACCATCAGAAATGGAAGGGGTTGAACATGGTTTTAGCTCGGCGGTAGGGTTTAACCATCTGAAATAACTATTCTAGTTGTTGCAAATACCACCAGCATTTTTTTCCCCAATTCGTGAATAGATCCAATACTAAGCCAAGTTGTCGTTTGTGGGGTATAGGTATATATGGGTATATACTACTAGGGGAAAGGAACTAGTGTAAATGACTTGGCCGCCCATACCGGTCATGCATGGTCATGGGGATCCAACTCAATTTGCCACGAATCACCTCCCCCAATACCAAGGCTTTGTTGAATGCGTATTAACCACCAACAACTGCATTTATGCTGGAGAATCTGAACCATATACTTTTTTTTTCGGAGGAGGGGAGTGCAATTTTGGGGGTGGCTGGTTGCATCCACAAGATAAACCGTCAAACCATGCATTTTTTTGGGGTTATGCCATTATTCTGAGCCAGCGCGGTTTCGAAACATTTGTTTTTGCACAGCATTGGTCGTAATGAACATGTGAATATATTCAAATTCCAATCCTTAAATAATGGTCAACGTTTTGTTCGCGTTCAATAGGTAAATAGTAAAATTTATGTAAATAACCACATGGACCACATCTTCATTCTCAACCTTAGTAACATACCCTGCCATATCTTTGGTTAATAAGTATACATCATCCCCCTGGCAGCCAACAGATTCCAACAGCAACGACGCCTTCTTTTTCGGTGCAATAGAGACCTTGAGGTCTTGGGGTGGGGCCGAAGGGCAAGGGGTCCACAGAGAAAAACTCCAAGTTTTGTGGGGGTGAGGTATGTATTGATGGTTAAAGATTCTGATGAATTCTTAACTAATCATTGTTCATCATTCGGTTCATAAACATAAATTCACATAATACATATCTGGTTGGTGGTTTCAGCACCTCTGAAAAATATGAGTTCGTCAGTTGGGATGATGAAAATCCCAGTATATGGAAAGTCATAAAATTCACGTTCCAGTCACCACCAACCAGATATGTTCATTTCATGTCAGTTAGTGTCAGTTGTCTAAAAAAAACATTTTTCCGTGGTCTGGTTCACCAACAAGGCTTGATCATGAATGGCTTCTGGAATCTATTCCGGCATCTTCTACTTGTGGTGACATCCCAGTGGTACCGTGGGATGGTGGTGAAACTTTACCCCAATTCTTCTTGCTTCAATCCAGTGGAGCTGCTGTTGGTTTCCCATTTTGATGGTGGTTAAATCGCCCCAATTTTGGCTTATCAAACAAGTTACATCAAGTTACACATTCAAGGTTTACTAGGAATTTCATGGAATTTCTTGCTTAAGCCCCAATTTTCGATGGTTCAACTGGCAAAAAAAAACGAAGTTTGCTGAGCGTAAAAAACGGTTCCCAACTCATGACCGCCCCCAATCTCCACCTGGATCACGTCGGAGAGCTTCATGAACTCCTCTAAGACCTCACGAGGCTGACAGCTGCTCAATAGTTGCGGAATGTTTGTTGCCAAAGGGGGATTTAATAATTTAATATATGTGATTTAATAAGATTTTCATGAAATGGTTCATGGGGTATTTCATGGGATATTTCATGAGACAATGAGATGTTTCATGGGATATTTCATGGGAAATTTCATGGGACATTTCATAGGATATTTTATGAGATGCTTCATGGGATATTTCATGGGTATGATTGTGAGTAAAACAAGCAACAAAAATACCTGGCGGTTCAGCCAATCCCATAAAATGAACTACCTATACCATGAATATAATATTAATTGAGATGAAAGAAAACATCATCACCTAAGCATCCCCATCTCCAGCTTTCACAAACTAAACCACCATCTCTGTTGCTGAAAAATCACTGGTCTTCGCCTGTTTAGCGATGTTTAGCGTGTTTTTTCTCCACCATTTTGCAGGTGAAAACCTCAAAGTTTGAAGCTGACATCCAGATTTTTTGAGGTGTAATTCACATTTTGGATGCTTTCTACAGCCGGTTCTATCAGATTGAAATAGATTAATGATGATTCATGACTAATTCAACTCATGTCAATTCACCATTGCTAAATTGAATTAATTTGATTTAAACTAAACTGTCGGAAGTTCATGCAATCTTTGCAGGTGAAATCCTCAGGCTTTGAAGTTCACATCAAGTTACCCAATCTGTGGTGAAGTCCACATTGATTTCTGGTAGCTTTTACATTTCACCAACCCACCTGAAGGAGCTGCAATGATGTGAATATCACCATTTTTTCGTAGAATCCATAAACAAATCCATCATTTTCTGCGTGAATTCACTGAATTCACCCATTTTTGAGGTCAAATCCCCATTTTCTCTGCGTCAAATCGCCCGAAGCCCGCCTCATCGCTGGTGGCCAGGCGATCCACCAAACCACGTTGCATCGCCTCAGCACCCAGGAAGACTTCGCCCGTGGCGACCTGGCCAAATGGGTGAAATCTGATGAGTTTCATGGGGGTTTAATGATGTTTAATGGGTTTACTGGTGGGGTTCAGAATTCAGATTCTTTGTTTCTCTATGTTCCCCACCTGCCAGGTGAAGGTTGTTAGATTTTATCAGAGCTGTTCTCCTCCTCCTCCTCCGCCTCCACCTCCGCCTCCGCCTCCTCCGCCTCCTCACCCGCCGCCTCCTCCTCGCAGTCCAGATCCCAGTGGGCACTGCCGGACCTCAACCGTGAGTTGCAGATCGCAGTGGGCACTGCCGGACCTCAACCGCGGGCACTGCCGGACCTCAACCGCGACTTCCAGATCGCAGTGGGCACTGCCGGACCTCAACCGCGACTTCCAGATCGCAGTGGGCACTGCCGGACCTCAACGGCGACTTCCAGATCGCAGTGGGCACTGCCGGACCTCAACCGCGACTTCCAGATCGCAGTGGGCACTGCCGGACCTCAACGGGAAGAATGTCAGAAAAGATATCAGATAGAATGTCAGAAGATATGCCAGATAGAATGCCAGAAAGAATGTCAGAAAGAATGTCAGAAGATATGCCAGACAGAATGTCAGAAGATATGCCAGAAAGGATGTCAGAAGAGATGCCAGATAGAATGTCAGAAGATATGCCAGATAAAATGCCATGAGATATGCCAGATAGAATGCCAGAAGATATGTCAGATAGAATGCCAGAAGATATGCCAGAACATATGCCACAAGATATGCCAGATAGAATGCCAGATAGTATGTCAGAAGATATGCCAGAAGATATGCCAGATAGAATGCCAGAAGATTTGCCAGATAGAATGCCAGAAAATATGCCAGAAGATATGCCAGAAGATATGCCAGAACATATGCCAGATAGAATGCCAGATAGAATGCCAGAAGATATGCCAGAGAGAATGCCAGATAAAATGTCAGATAGAATGCCAGAAGATATGCCAGATAGAATGCCAGAAGGTATGCCAGATAGAATGTCAGATAGAATGCCAGAAGATATGCCAGATAGAATGCCAGAAGATATGTCAAATAGAATGCCAGAAGATTTGCCAGTAACAACATGTATAAATGTCATTGTGGTTATAACTCGAAGTAAAGTAATTTTGTTTTTTCGTATTTTTTTATTTCTTAATATGGGTTTTCATGGGTAGTGTAAGGGTTTAAATAATGGTGTTTTGATGTGGTTTTGAGTACTTTTAAATGATGGGGCTCACGGGGGTTCAATGGTGTTTTCATGGGGTTTTTGATGGGTTTGAATGGTGGTTTTCCTGGTGTTTTTGATGGGGTTGAATGAAAACAGGTTGTCGTTCATGCGGAAGTTTAGACGATGTTTTGTGGCGATTTTTCATGGGATTTACTCAGCAAACCGCGCCAGTTCCATGCGGAATACCACCAGTTAGAGGTCATTTTGGCCACAGACAGCCTGGGCCCCCAACAGCCATCAACAGCCTGCCTCATCCACATCCAGGCTGTTCCTCTGTTGTTGCACCATGCCTGGTGGGAAAAAAAAACGTGTTTTTCTCATCCAAACGAATCACAGAACTAGAGGTACTGTAAAAACGGCAAAAAAAACCTGGTAAACTAGCAGTTTGCTGTTGAAAATGGCAATTTATAGTTGTTTTATCTATCAAAAATGGTGATTTCTGGCATCGAATCCATCGCACCTTTAAAGGCGTCGTGAATTGCCTGCACGTCCTGACCGCAAACGCCATGGACCCAATGGACTCCCAGTTGGACGGTCAAAATCCGAGTTACACATGCACTTGGGCTATAGTATAGCATACACGTGCTATTTATGTCTCTATCTGTCTATCTATCTATCTATCCATCCATCCATATATATATATATATATACATGTTTATACTGTATATATTGAATCCGTAAAACAAAACAGCTGAAACTACCCACATTTACAAAAAAGGTTTATTTTCGCCCATCTCTAAATAATTAAATATATCCAGCATAACCCCACTATAAACCCCACTTAGCCTAGTTGCAAACCAATTTGCCGATCTAGGGGCCCGGTTTGTGGATTATTTGGACTTTTCCCAGCACAAACAGTACCACGCAAATCGACATGAACAAAAATATAGCAGGAATACAATACAAAAATCATACAAATATGTTCAAGATCACTTAAATAGCAAACATGTTTAAATTGTATGATCAATTCTACACAAGCCATCACAATTCTATCAAAACCCCAGATTCTTCTACCAGTTTCATTGGAAGGGGAGGTCAGCTACTAAAATGCTACCGCCCAGTGATCAACAGCCCAATTTGGCAAAATCGGCGGTTGACATTAATCTTAGATACCCTGCAAACAAACAGAGACAAACAACTTTTATGTACACATCTGCCTTTTTTTACATGCATCATCGTTGGCTAGGTGGTATGTATTTTATATAAGGCATGTATAACGTAAGATAAGATATGTAAGCATATACACATGTAAACCTGCGTGGACATATGTATGTTTATATGCTATATCTATCTATCCTCATGCATGGCACCTCCAATTTTGCACAACATTCAACAAAGACCTAGTCCAATGTGGTAATGTTAGTAAATCAATACAGAAACAACTACAATATGCGGTTTATACATGTTTGTACAACCCATAAAAAAAGGTAAAATTGTGGATATGTCCCATTATAAATGGTTCAAATAGTAGTTAAACCAGTATTGACAGTGGATATCGTTGACATTCATTAACCATTCTTAACATATATCAGGGATATCCATTCTTAATCATTACTGCTACTCATTCTTAACTACCAACCATTAGACACTACGAACTAGATATGATTCATATGATCGATTATCCCTCAACCATGATTATCCCACTAACCATCTATTGTTTTATTGATCATTGTTAATCATTACTAACCATTCTTAACCAGCATTAATCCAATATTAACCATCATTTAACCACTATTATCCCGAATTATTACTTTTTGGTAATTTAACATAGCTATTGAACATACCCCATAGAAATAGTTGATTTACCTATTCAAAATGGTGATTTTCTATAGCTATGTTAGTTTACCAGAGGGAAATCGTTTTATGAACCAATAAAGCCCCAGATTCCCACCGTCAGCCGTGGCGCACCGACGTCCTCCTGAGCCTTGGCGCGTTGTTCCTCGGTGATTTCGCTCAAGGGATCCACGGTGCGTTTCCACTTTCCCGCGGTGATCTGGATCCAGTCGATCTCGTGCCTTTCGGTCGCGGAGGCCGATGGCCAAATTTTCGGAGATAGAGATCGATCTAAGAGATAAAGTGGTGAAAAGATATTAGACACAAATGTCTATTATATGATATTATATATACGCGTGTTTTGTCATGTTAAAAAATATATATATAATATGATATAATATTTGGGATGGCAAATCTTTGGGATTGAAACAGAATATATTGAACCGATGTTGGCAAATCTTTCGGATTCAACAGTGACTATATAAGATATCAGGGTAAAATAACTCATATACATATGCACCCCCAAAAAATATCAAAAATTGTTCTTAAATGTTGCTATCCAACAAAACATAGTTATATTACTAATTATACATAAAGTCTTGGTATTTGGGTGATGATCTATTATTTGTCAGACCAATCTGGGATACCTTGCAAGAAACCTTAGTTTCTTGCTTTATATGACATCATCTACCGCAAACATATATGGAAAGTAGCTACAAAGTACCCTTGAGCTGTTGGCTTGCCCCAGTTTCATCTCAGTTCACGAATAATATAGCTGGATAATCATTACATGTGTGTGTGTCATACAATTATCTTATTCACCAATAATAACCCGTTATAACTGGATATTCTTGGTGGATAACTGAATAACCCCTTCATCCAAGGGGGGTGGAGTGCTGTGGCTGGAGATGTCTGCAGCTGAGCCCACCTTGGAGATGTGTTCTGTGGATTTGTTTCCTAGTAGAATCACCTTGAAAAATTGTGATTTAATGGGATTTAACCCAGGAAACCGATGATGTATTGGCAATGGGATTTAAATGGATTACTCTTTGGTAATTTTACGTGGAAATGGAAACTGGCCATTTGTGGTTGATTTACCTATCACAAATGGGGATTTTCCATAGCAAACTGTTAGTTTACCGGAGGATATATGACATATGAACTGGAAGTGTCTTCCCTGGGAAAAACTTGTGTTGAAACCTTTACAAAACCCAGGACCTTCGAGTCAGCAGCAGATGGGGCAGGTCACTCCCCCATCCCTTTCGTGCTGCAGTTTCGCCTCTTCAAGACTTTCGAGAAGTTGGGGGTGGAAGTCAGCACACCTGGCAGCTGAAGTTTCAGTGCCCGGTTTTCAGTTTGGTGTTCAATATCTATTTGGATGAAAACGACCAGCGAAGTCAAACGGAAAGCCGTTAGCTAAACAACTAAGTAACTGTCAAGAAGTTTTGCCTGTTTTCGAGATATTTATTGAAGAGTCTTGGACCGCGACAACGTGCCAACATACTCCTGCTGTTGTGCTTGAGAAAATCTTCTATGTACCGATTCCCAAGCTCGGTCACGAACAGAAGCAAACTTCCAGTTCCCCACTGAAGCCTGGACCCCCAAAACATGTGTCAGGATTTGCGATCCGGGAACTTCCAGGAACCACCAAAACACGATTCCTCAAGTGGATTTCTTGGGAAAAACAACAAATCATCAGCAAATCCAAAGTTATCAAATCAGTAAACCCCGGCTGACAGCTTCCCAAAGAGCCAAGAGCCCCACCTATGGAGCCAACCAAGGAAAAGGGCGTGGCCACCACGCTGTTGGCCTCCGGCTACGACTACCAGGATATGTATACATCTATATGTATTTGTATGTGCATATATCTATGCCAAAATATCTTAAAAATATGCAAATAAACATAGATAGATTGGGTAGATGGATACTGCACAAATGGTTGAACAAATGCTTAGAGATATGACGGATGCACATGTGTATAACTCTGCGTGTTTAATATATATATATATGTTATATATATATATGTGTGTGTGTGTGTACATGTTTCACATTTAAAAAACAAAAAAATAAGAAACTGCCATATGACCATAGATTGCATCTATGAAATTCTATGCACATGTTCTGGAAAAAACTCACAACTCGTGGGCAGTACAGTTTTTTTCACTGTGGCTTCATCACCCTCCAGGAGCAGTTCCAACTTGGGTTCCCGACAGCACATGCCATCCTGGGCTGCTCATGGACCCACCAAGTGGTGAAACCTTGAATTTATAATCTGATTTTTCTGTTGATTCATAATTTTCCAGTACAACTGATAATTTCAACATGTTGAAGCAAACTGCTATACAAACATGTTTAAACAATAAACAGCTATATATCAACATAATAGTATATTTATATACTGCTATTGGAACAGAAATTCTATATAATAGAGTATAATAGCTACAAGTATATCACATATTTATATAATTTCAACATTTATGGGCCTATGGGCCCTATGGGCAATAAACATCAATAAACTGCATACACTCGAAGGATCACCAAGTCACATGTAGCCTCCAGAGGCAGCCACCTGGTACTGGCTGTCGGCATATGAAATGCCAGGAACATGTTATGGTCTAACCCCGGGCAATCAAAGGTGACTGTACGATGCCAAAAAAAACCTGCATAAGTGGAAGTTGTTCATGTTTTAATGGGAATATCAATGAGCTGGAATTTTCTGTTACCATGTTTGATTGCCGGAGGGTATTTGGCCTTAACGAAATTCAACGACCATTAATATTGATGTTGGAGGTGAATGCGGGGGCTCTGATAAAGAAGGTGCTCTGCAAATCGAGAAGTATACCGTCCAAATTGGGTAAAGGGATGGCAACTCAGCTGCAATCCATTCTGCCAACTCCAATCAGCTCCCAACACTAAGCATGGGTCCTGACTTCAGTTCATAAATTGGCTAAAGGCACTTTTCACATGGGTCTGGGTGAAAACTCAAGGTGCAGGGGACTTCAAGTTTTGGGTGCAGGGGACCTCGAGGTTTGGTCTTTGGTACGAAATCTCTTGGCCATCAATTTCAGGGGTTCCAAAATTTGACCCATACCCACATGTTTTTACTTCCAAATGTACAAGTTTCCTGCACATGGCACATGTTCCCTTCAACCAATTCCGGTTGAAGGTCTCAACGTCTGCGACATTATTTATATATCTCCATCAGTGGATCTCAGAATCGAAGAATGGATACAGTACCCGGTCATCAAACATGGCAATGGAAGCTCCATCAAAAAACAGCGATAAACCTCCATTTGTGGGGCATGTTGAATTGCTGTGTTCGATTGCCGGAGGATAAGCGTAACACGTCTTCTTTGACCCTCTGGTAATATAGCTGTGGAAAATCACCATCCGAATATTTAAATCAACTATAAATGGTCCATTTTCCATAGCTATTAGCAGCGATGTTAGTTTAATGTTTATTTATTAGAGGGTAATCCAAGTGTATCGAATCGTACAGTATATATATATAGATATATCATTCATAGTGCGGTAACATCAAATAAGGGACCTGCCCGGTCACCAAAACAATTGAGCACCTTATCGACACACGCTGTGAGGGTCAGCCTAGTGACGCTGACGGGAGGTGGTATACATGGGAGGATGCTAGGCTGCGATGATTATTTGTGTCCGGACAAAGGCGAAGTTATGGGGCTACAGAACTTGATTTTGTGGAATCCGATGGCATAAAAGTTAGATGCCGATCTAACCAATCCCAACCACGTGACATACATAAATCCAGAAATCATCCCAAACAAATCCCAAAAAGGAAACCAGTTTCCCCCCCGCGGCAGGGTCTATATTTTGATCTTCATGGTCATCCCCGCGTGTGTGGTTGACTCTGACTCTTGCTCTTACCGCCCGTAAACCGCAAGCCATATACAGTATAACATTATAAAACATTACTGACATCATGTTACCAATCATACTGTAATTGAATCACTATAAATCATATAACTATGTCCAAGTCATAATTTTTGTGCAATCGCTTTCTTCATGATATGAAAGAAACAAAAACTCACAAGTCAAGATTCAACGAATGTGATTTTACAATTTTGGGGCGCTCCCTACAGCGTATATACCATCCGGTAAGCATAGCAATGGACAATTCTCCATTTATAGATGATGTTCCCATTAAAACCTTCAATTTAAGGGGAATTTCCCTGCCAGCCATGTTTGATTTCCAGATTAGCAGAGGGTCAAAGGTTATATCCCAGTATTATCCCATCATATCCAAATTCTAGCCTCATAAATCCCTACTCTATTCTCAGTTAATGCATGAAAGAACCCGGAAACACGGCGCATCGTCCGCTGCGTCCCAGTGACCCCTTGGATCGCAGTCGCAATAGCTGTGCAGCTGCGAAGCCATAGTCTGTCACCCTGCCACCAGGGGAGCCGATTCGCACCACGGCCTGGGCGAAGTGGACGCACATAAAACGAAGTGTGCACGTTTGGGTTTGTGGGGGATATAACTATTGTTAAAGAATTGGCTATATAAATATGAACATAAACCAACTTATTATTATAATTAATTAACTGGGTTTCTTTTCAACCAAGCACACTTGAGCTCCCGAAGCGTAATGACGAAGGGCACGCTGCAAGCCAGGTTCATCCAGATTTGCTTGCAGCGGTTTAGTGAGATTTGTGTCAAAAAAGAACAGCTGAAGACCGTGCGTTCCGACAAAAGTGAATACCAAACGAAGTACCTCGAGTAGCCGAAGCCTTGGCAAGTCAATAGTTCAATAGTTTTAAAACTCCTTGAGAATAGCATGTTCTTTGACCTGCCGTAAATGCTTAATATTTGCAGTGTCAAATTGAGCGCCTTGTCCATTTAAGAAAGAACATGCATCTCCGTATGATTCTATCACCCAATCTAATTTCGGTCTGCCAGGTCTCCTAGACACGTTTGGTTTTATGGTGGATAAAACTATAATTTAAAAAATGTCTTTATGATTTGTATTAATTAATATAAACCAACTTATTATTGTAACTGAGGGGGCCTGTCTAGTACATATGTATAATATCTACATATATAGAATTATATCATAATATCTAAAATGTAAATAGCTACATATACATTTACATATATTTAGAAATTATAATAGCTACATAAGACACATAATACCTATCATGTAAATGTGTCTTTTCCTTTCCCGCTACAATCTATGGCCATTGAAACTAACATGACCTGCTGGAAATTTCCCCATTGAGTTCGATGATTTCACCAGAAAACCTCCACTTTGATCGGTGTCCCGGCCATGTTTGATCTCCTATACTATACATGTCCCTCCCCGATGGTATATGATGGTATGGTACCTCCCTTCCCTCAAAAATACCTACCATTTGCGTGCAATTTGCAGTATTTGAGAGTCACAGCCTCCCATTTGCACACTATTTGCAGCGTTTGACAGCCATATGCTACCTATATACGACCTACGTGCTGTCCATATACATGTTTATTTTCTACCTGGTATACCTATGTACAAGCCATAGCGTATCATAGCGTATCTATATTACTATTCATCAGTTGCCTATGATTGATGTATTGCCAGTACTATATCCATACATGGAACCCATATAATACTTTATAGCGTAGCTATAAAACACGTATGTTCAATTTATATATATATATATATATAAATACACAATATACATACATACTATTATCATCTATTATCCATACTCATGTCCAGCATCCAAACCACCCGAACCCCTACCCCCTACCACAGGGGGAAGGAGGCAACCACATACACTACCTAATCCATCGTACTTTTATTGTACTACCAGCAAAAAAAAGCAACGACCCCAAGCTGCAAACACTCCTTTAGATTTTGGTGTATATATATATATATATATATTCCATACATAATGCATATACAAACTACATCTAATAGTCTATCAATCTATCTAGATCTATATATGATTATGTATATATAATATATTATTTGTGTATGTCTGTATAAGCCAACCAGTTACCGTTCATCTGGCGCTTGGTTGTTAGATTGCTCATCAGCTCATCCCCACAGGAGGTGTACCTGGTATACCTTGACCGCCTTGACCATGGGGTTTGGGTCTTGGGACGCCGATGAAGCTGGAAGATATATTTCCAGTCAACCCAATATATGGTTCATATATGGTTAATAATATAATCCATATATAAATATCTGGTTGGTGGTTGAGCCCTACCCCTCTGAAAAATCATGGAGTGAAAGTCAGTTGGGATGATGACATTCCCAATAGATGGGAACAAAAAAAAATGTTCCAAACCACCAACTAGACTTCCATTAATTAAATGTTGATGGTGTTGATTTGTTGATGGTTAATGTCAACTCCGGATTTTGCTAAACCACGGTTTAGTAAAAATTGTGAGGGTACCCGCCATAAATAGTCACTTTATATGGTACATAAATGGTCCCAATTAAAAAGCCGTAAGTGGGGGTTATTAATCCAGTGCCAAAAAAAAACTCATTGAAGCTCCGTTTCCATCCCCAATTGTTGGGAAAATCTCCATGGAAATTTCCATGAAAGCGCCGCCTGGTCGTGGGGACTCTTGGCCGTGTGGAGGATAAAGGTCACGATGTCGCGCAAGTCCTCCGCAACGTAGCGCGGAAGGGAGGAAGAGACGGTCCCTTTTTAGAAGTGGAGAGTGCTTGAACCGGAACACATTTTCATGGGACTAATTGAGGAATCATGGAAAACCATCCGTACATGAAGGTTGTAATGTATGCCGCTAATGGGAGATCCTCGATGAAAATGGAAGGTTTACAAAGGACATCTACCATCAATGGGAAAAACGACTGCGGCTGATTTAACTAAATGCTGATATGTTTTTTCCACGCTTTTCCGGTTTCGGAAGTGGATAAGAAGACATGAATTTGAGATTATTTGAGAAATCAATACTGCATGATGATAATGCTGATATGATTTTGCCCATTTATCAAGTGGATAGTACGTGATAATGACACCGTGGCTGACCATCCCATTGAAGATTGTCTGACTCTGGCCGATAAATCATCCTAAATCATCCCGCATTTCCCATATCATAAATGGAAAACGTTGCCACTCTTGTACTGATGACTGTTGCCAGCTGGTCACTCTCAGAACACGTAGGCCGTCAATTGCCGGTGCGAGTGACCACTTAAGCTTGACGGGCCCTTGCAGGGTTTGTCGCGAACATGGGTTCTAAATCGCATGGTTTTTCACACTTGTTCATAGGTTCCATTGTGAAACCATGGGCTACCATGGTACCAAGAAAGTGTTTTATCCGATCCCATTAAAAAAATGTATTTTGGGCATTCCCCATGTAGAAACCAGGCCATCTATGAAAATTTGCGAGGTAGGCTACTGTGCCTCGAAAGAAATGTACTTACCGTCCTCCAGTTGTTTCTTCATTTTCTCCGGTTGAGCCGCTCCTGGCCATGTGGCTGTGAATACCCGGAGCCCTGACCGTGGCCGGTCCCACGGTGTTGGACCGTGGAACCGAACCGTGCGACCGGCCACGGTTTCACGGTTGCAACCCCCCCTGCACCGCCCTTCTCGAAATGTCCATATAGTATAATATACATGTCATATACATGTCAATAATAAGAACGATTATTGCCCTCAAACTTGAGACTTTCAACATCTTTGAACCACCTGGTCGATGTCCCATGGTGGTCCAGTTGGATCCTGCGATCCCATCATGGAAGTTAAACACGAAGGTCTTGGGACGCAAACGTGCCTCCCATGCTGCGGCTATGCTTGGTATAAGGTCAAGCCTAAAAAAAATAGAAAACATGAACAGAAACTAATCGCTATTTAGTGTGACTTTACTTTTCTGCACGTTTTTTGGTGGTTCAGAAGGTTTACCTAAAGTTTACACAAGTTCCGTAATTAGGTGAAGTAATGGGTGATCTGGGTGGAGAGATTGGGGACTTGACATCAACAAAACAGGGAATCTACAGTAGATTGGGTAAAACTTATTAATAATAAACCAGCACTCAAACCACCATTTTTATAAATAGGTGGTATGTTTACGGGCAGGACTGAGGGTTGTCCCGGAATGGTCGCATGAACGTCAGTGGGAAGCTCATTTCTCTGCACAGGCGCAGTGTTTTTTGACTCTGGTACATCTGTGAGTTCGCGTGGTCTAAGACAATTTTTTGGGAAAATCAGTCAGAAAAGTGAACCCTCTGCGGACTTCACGCGTTTCAGCCATTTCCACGTTTTCAATCTTTTCCACTTTTTGGCGACTCCGGATCTTATAATTTATGTAAGCCCTCATGAAACCCCTAATAGAAGTATGCGTATATGTTCCATGGGGCCCGGCGATTTTATAACTTATGTAAACCCAGATGAAACCCCTATGTTCCATGGGGCCGGGGGATGTGATAACTCATGTAAACCCTCATGAACCCCCTAATAGAAGTATGCGTATATGTTCCATGGGGCCGGGTGATTTTATAACTTCTGTAAACCCTAAATGAAACCCCTAATAGAAGTATGCGTATATGTTCCATGGGGCCGGGGGATTTTATAATTTATGTAAGCCCTCATCAAACCCCTAATAGAAGTATGCGTATATGTTCCATTGGGCCCGGCGATTTTATAACTTATGTAAACCCTAAATGAACCCTGATAGAAGTATGCGTATATGTGCCATGGGGCTAGGAGATTATGACAAGGAAATGTTATGACAAGGAATAAAAAGCCGGCACTGGGATAATGGAACCAATGAGTTGCTAGCTCCGCTCACCCTCGTAGGACGAAGGGGTTGTCCCTTCGGGACAACCCCGCGTACTGTGGGTATGTTTACCATTCCCACCTTAATTTTGCTTTACCTACATGAAAAATTTGATAGAAACAACTGACCGTTTCATCAATCATTGGGCCATTGGGTCAAGGCCGGCAAAGGCTCGACCTTGAGAATGTTCCATCAAGTGAACTGAATTTATTGTTCCTTCAAAACATATGGATGATATTTTTGAGTCACAGTCAAGATCAGTGGAATCATTTGCCAACTGCATTTCTGCAGCATTTCTGCAGCATGCTATCGCAGCATTTCTGCAGCATGCTATCGCATGCTGTACATCTTGAATCCCATGCCTCAATGGAAGACACCGCCTCCCCTGCCTGGCCGATGCAGCGCCAGGCAATGGATGAGGGGGGCCCAACCCATTGGAATATCAGCTGCCAAGATGGGATGGTTAAGAGATATTAACACCTAAAGTCCTTATATAACCTAAGTCCTGATGTACCTGAAGTCAACTCTAATGTTTTAAAACCAAAAACGCTGATGAAACATCATGCCCCGAATAGTAACCCGGAGCATTCAAAAGGATTTGTTCGAGGAATGCGCAGGAAACCATGAGCTTTTCCATTAAAAAAACGGTTTTCTCGACAAACAATCCCTGAAACCAAGTGTAATTGATCTGTGGGTGTACCGAAACAGTTTTTTACCTAGCTGTCCCAATTCAGGATCGACCAACATTTTCCATCCATCCCCCAAAATCCGGGCCCCCTTCTGAAGGGTGGTACAGTACCACAGGCGTGGTATGCAACGTTTGGATCAATCCTCATATCCCCCATGTTTGGCAATTCAATCCTCATGTTTGTTACTTGAAGACCCCATGTTTGGTGCTCAACATCCCAAATTTTGCCGATAAAATACAATAGCAACCCAATAGAAATAAATAGAGTAAGAAAAACTAAACAGCTACTGCAGACCTTATCACATTTGTTGTTGGCTTTTACCTCATGTGCTTGGGAAACTCAATTCTTAGCCCCTTGACTCTCCTATGGCTTTGATTGGGAATATACTGGAATATTGACAACTACAAGCATAGCCCATAGCTCGTAATCGCTCCATTCAACACCGGATAGATTCTACCCGCATTTTTCTTCAAGTTGCGTTTCCAACTTTTGCTGGTGAAACCATTGTTGATCATTTTTGGTGGCTCAATAGACATGTTTATGCCATTTTGCTATCCCTCGACTTGGCAACGAGAACTGCAGCCAGACACCAGAGATTGCAAGCCACCGCACCTGCAGCGCTTCCTGAATCTCTTCATTTCGCTGCTGCAACGCTTCTTTCAGCTGCTTTCCGTCCTGGCCGCAGCCAGGGGAACGAGTCCGGGCAGCCTGGATGCGTAACACCCTGATGGTGTTCCGAAGGGGTAACCCAGGGTTCCACATGTTCCACTTGCTACGTGATGTGTTACCCATGGTATTCTATGATTGTCTATGTTCAAAAGGAACCACATTGGAGTTTCCTAAAATAGGGGTATCCCTAAATCATCCATTTTCATAGGGTGTCCAATTATAAATAAACCCTTTTGGGGTACCCCCAAGACTATGGAAACCACCATATTTGGAATGGGCTGACGTTGATGAAACTTGGTTGAAATGGTTTATATATAATGAAAAATCAATCTATAAATGGATGATTCATGGGTACCGCCATTTTAGGACACCTCCATATAAGCTGATAGAAAGCACAATCATCCCAACTGTTGTTTTGCCACGATTGAAACCACCGGTTGTTTTGTTCCATGTTCGTCATTTCGGCAACTGTGCCGGATGGTACATTCCTTGATTTCAAATCATGCAAACTGGAAACCAAAGAACTATATAGAATCGTCACACAAAGATCGTTCTGCAACAACTCTTGTACAAGGTGGTGCCCCCCAGTCATGTTTCTTGGTTTGTAAGCCCTAGTCACCCACAAACTCCAGCTATTGTATAATAGATATAAACCAACTTATCTCCATACCAACTAAATCCACATAACTTGGTGCGTTAAATCACCATTTCTCTCGCTTAAACCAAATGTTCGCAGGTGATTGAAAAAAATGAGACCCAGTAAATGAAACTAAATTCCATTTTATAACCCCCAGTAAATCCCATCAAATCATCGTTTACCCTAATTATATCCCATGTAACTATATATTAATCACCATTAAACCCCAGTACGTTGCAAATTCAGCCGCCATCTTTTGGAGCCGAAGAAGATCCAGCCACCTCCTTCTCTTCTTCACCTTGCGCCTGACCCGGGGTAAACAGATGTGGAAAACTGGTGGCGAAAATGTTAGTTTACCCCAGGGCATCGGGTTAATTGGCATTTCAGATTAGAACAGATTAGACATATCACCACTATTGTGTTTCATGTTAATATATGTTAATTTATAGTGGTTAGATCAAAAAAACTGATTGTCAATCAAATTATGCAGTAAATACTAAAGCCAAAGTGATGGTCATAATATGAAGTGGATATTGATGTCAATCAATGTTTATCATAGTTATTGAGAAGATATTGGCCTACACTGATGATCAACTAAATTACAGATCAATCAATAACCAAATTAGGCATATCATGTTTATGATGAATCATGTTCACTAAATTGGGATCATGGTATATTACATAAGGGGATACAATGGGATTGGGATACAATGGGATATACGATGGTATATGTAATGGGACAAACATAAATAAAGCCATGTAATTATTTACATGGTAACATTCATGAATATTAGCCAACATTCACAATCCACAAATCCCAAGATGATAAGATGACAATAATGCACCTCAAGGTTTCTATTTATTAATCTGGCTGATTTTTTGTAATCATTCACTAGCCTGAAACATTTATTAATCTGGCTATTTATACACCATAAGGGGATTATTCCGTAAACATCCGCATCATTTCCAGTGGTGGGGTCGCTAGGTTTTTTTTAATCCAGATCATTCCAGATCTAAATGGTGATCATCTTCAATTACCCAACTGTAACCGCCAATTCGCACATATCAACAAACATAACTAACATACCCTCTGGTAAACTAACATAGCTGTTGAAAATCACCATTTTTCTTTGGGTAAATCAACTATTTCTATAGCCATTTTCAATAGCTATGTTAGTCACTACCAGAGGGTAACTCATATTTTGAAAAACCTGGTTCGTAGCCATGGTTTTTCTTAGGGCCCAAGAAACAGGTACCAACTGGGATGTCCCTCGACTAGTGGAGCTCTGTCCTACAAATTCTTCAAATGACACGCAGGGGAATGAAACATTGGGAAATCATCCCCGGTAATCCCATAATGGAGGTATACAAATATATATATATATATATATTTATTTATTTATTTATGTACAATATAAAAGTCTATATACCTATATCTCTACATATCCATATCTTAATATATCTATATATTTATATATATATATATATATCTATATATTTATATATATATATATATATCTATATATATATTTATATATATATATAATCGATTAATCCATTAATCTCTCTATATATATATCTATATATATATATATCTATATATCTAAAAATCTATATATCTATATATCATATTATATATCTATATACCTATATTTATATCTCTATATATATACATATATCTATATATATATATATATATATCATATTGTTTATCTATATATCATATTATTTATCTATATAATATATTATATATGCATATATATATATATATATCAATAAATCATTTTATCTATATATCTATCTATCTATATTTTATTATATTTATCTATCTATCTATCTAGATGGGAAGATCATGGGAACATCATCGAACCAACTGGGGGATTTTCCGTGCAAACTCCACTCTCCAGACTCTCCAGAGCACAGCACCACACCTTGAGCAGCGGCGCCGGAGGGGCGCCCGCACCCAGCAATTCTTGCAAGGCCTGCCGTGGGGACCGATTGACCCAACCAAAACGAGGATTTTACCGCACCCAAAATGAGGATTTCTCCAACCTGACCAATCGTCAAATAGAAATGATTGGAAATGTGTGAATCATTGTTGGTAACCATGTGGATATTTTGAAATTGAGAGAGGGCAAGTGCAGTTCACTAGCATCACCATGGCCAGTCGAAACAAACGATGGCAGACGTACAGCTGGCAAGCACATTAGTTTGGACCAGGCAAGCATTTCTGTCAGTAGGCACACGGGATGGCCAGAGGTATCCCATGTAGAAATGTGAGTTTTTAGCTGGTTGGGCTTTGTCTACGTTCCCACTTATTGTAAACAAAAGGCCCAAAGGGCCAAAGAGCACATCACTTTTTTCTGGGCGGTATAGGCAGCATGACCAAGCACCACGAAGCAGTCTGCGGCAGGATTCGGGCATGAATTTCGATAATTTGCGACCAAAAACACTCCAAGAATCAAAGAAGCACCATCTTTGCCTTTTTCAGGAGGTCTGCAACCATCCCATTTTGTAGTCATCACCCTATTGACCACCAAATGTGCAACTGCAGCAAATCCTGCCGGCTGCCGGAAAATTCTGGCACCCTGCACCTGCACAATGAAGAGGTACGGCTCAAAACACATTCAAAACGATACAACCAAAGAGGTACAAGTTCAGCATAGGTGGCAATTTGCATGGGAAAATCCCCAACCCTCGGTTGCTCAAAATCCAACATGTCAAGCCAAGTGCAGTGCTTCAGCCTGGCTGAAATCATCTGGTGAAATCTCAAGTCCCCCAGTATTTGCTCATTGTTGCATGATTTATCTATTTTAAAAAAAGAGTTGTTTTTTCTTCCGCAGTTGTGTTCACCATTTTTGGATATTTTTGGTAGACCAAGTTGAGAAGCTTTTGGTAGGTTGATCCACCCCTTTTTCGGCAAGTTGTGCCGTCCTGTGGAGAGACTTCCCCCGTAGACATGGCATTGAAAGATATGGCGAACTGTTTGCCATCCTAAATCGTAGATACAGTACCCAAACAAAATAAAAATGGAGCTGGTTGGACGTCAGGTTAAATCGCCAAAACACTGAGTCATACAGAAGTTATAGATTAGTTATAGAATATGTGATCCTTTATATGTTCATCCTTTTCTGAGTCCATAAATGGTCAGTCACTTCCGGATGTATCCAGGACGTGTCAGAGCTTGTTATGCGCAGCTGCAATGCTAAAGTCCACCACCAATGGCCGATGATCCGAGAGCGTCGCTTGAGCATCCTGCGGGCGTTGCGCGTAAGTGGAGACGACTTCAGCCAGCAAAATGATGATTATTTAGCCACAAAATAATGATCAAACAATAGGATCAAACCGATATAACCGATAAAACCATCAAAAAACAAGAACAACAACAACAACAAGAACAAGAACAAGAACAAGAACAAGAAGTACAAGTATCAAACGTATTCAAACGTATTCGATTCAAACGTATTCAAACGTGAGGATAAACCAACAAATTTGGGGATGCAACTAATCAAAACAAGGATTAGGTGATTCATGATGAAACCATTCTTTGAGGTGAAAAAATAGATCACCGAGACAGGTGGACGAGGCCACCAGTGATGTAGTTCAATCCCCGGGATGTGGCCATGTGCAGGGGACTGGTGCATACTGGTGCCATGGAAATTGATATGTCACATGAGTCACATGCAAATGGAAATTGATTCATTAGCTGACTACATCACTATGTAGTCAGCTCTCATCACTGCACCAGGCCCAGCAACATGTAGGGGAAGTACAAAGGGATACTGGATGTACCTTCCATTTCCTTTCTATGTTTCCATTAGTGTTCAAGTGCCTGTGCCATTTGAATTCCCATATCTGCTATCATGTGACTGGGGAAGCTCATTTCGTGGAATTCGTAGCTCCTTGGCTCTCCATTTCTTACTGAGAACGCGGAAGCAATCATAGCTCTCAACCACCCCCTCCAAACCCGGAAATTACGAGGGAGGAATGCCAAACAGTTGAGTCAAGTCTCGTCTCCCCAGCCAGTGCTGCTACCTCGGTCGTTGTTGCCTTTGGCCGAAAAGGCCTCATACACCATTCTTCTCGGTTTCCAAACACATCAGTCAGCTCAAATGGGAAGAGCAGCAACATCAAAAATTGATTAAAATAGATAAACATAGCCGACACAAGCACCTTCAAGCAACATCAATTGCCATTTGGTTATTTAACATAGACATGGAAGATTGCCCATTTATAGATGCCCATTTATAGATGGTTCACCTATTAAAAATGGTATGTCAATAACAAGAAGACTAGAAAAACTCATCAACATCCCATGGGCCCGTGGCTGGCTGCATCCCAGAGTCTCCATGGCACATCCAACGGCAAATCGTTTGGATGTAGAAACGCCTCCTGAGAAAAACGCCATTGGGGGACGGAACGGGACGGATCAGAAATTCCCCGACCACAGAAATTGGTGATGGCTATAGACTATAGCATGAACAATCCCATTTTAGGTGTGCCCAAGTTTCATCATATATGATCATTATTTCATATGATGTTCTCCTCCTTTCTAAGATGCTACCAATTCCATCAAAATCCAATGAAAACAAACGCACGAGTTTGCCAAAAGTAAAAGGATATACCATGATATACTGATATACCCCCAAAATCCACTGATTGATTAGCATCTCCCCTACTCATCGGCAATAAAGTGGGGGTGTGGGCATGCCCCGTTATCAGGGGACGGGGGTCACATTCGCCCCTACCCCAGGGGTCACATTCGCCCCTACCCCACTATCCTTCCCATTGACTGTGTCATTCAACCTTTTAGGGTAAGACCTGGGGACAAGGGACTTTAGGGGGGACTGGGGAAAATTTCGGGGGGACTTGGGGACGTAGATTAAGTCACTTCCCACACTATTGGATATGTCACTCAACCTTTTAGGGTAAAACCTGGGGACACGGAATGTTATGTTGAAATGGATGTTTCAACGTAGCATCCAGAGCGTCCAGGAAGTTGATTGAAATGGATGTTACAACGTAGCATCCAGAGCGTCCAGGAAGTGGCTTGAAATGGATGTTACAACGTAGCATCCTGAGCGTCTTCGAAGTTGATTCAAATGGATGTTTCAACGTAGCATCCAGAGCGTCCAGAAAGTGGCTTGAAATGGATGTTACAACGTAGCATCCAGAGCGTCTTCGAAGTTGAGTCAAATGGATGTTTCAACGTAGCATCCAGAGCGTCCAGGAAGTTGATTGAAATGGATGTTGGCACGTAGCATGCACAGCGTCTTGGAGTTGCTTGAAATGGATGTTATGTTGCAACGTAGCATCCAGAGCGTCTTCGAAGTTTTTCACATGGGTGTTACAACGTAGCATCCAGAGCGTCCAGGAAGTTGATTGAAATGGATGTTGGAACGTCGGGTCCACAGTTCTTGGAGTTGCTTGAAATGGATGTTATGTTGCTACGTAACATCCAGAGCGTCTTCGAAGTTGCTTCAAACGGATGTTACAACGTAGCATCCAGAGCGTCCGGGAAGTTGATTGAAATGGATGTTACAACGAAAATTCCAGCTTTTTGGAGTTGCTTGAAAGCGATTTTCCAACATAACACGTGAACATGACTCTCTGAGGTGGAAAAGATCATTTCCAGGCTCTGAAACTATTGCGCCTGCCACACAAAAGCAGGGGTCACATTCGCCCCTACCCTAGGGTCACATTCGCCCCTACCCCCAACTGAGGTAGGGGCAAATGCGACCCCACATGAGGTAGGGGCAAATGCGATCCCCGTGCCCGTTATCAGACACGCCTGTGTATCACTAATTATGAAATGTAGTAAGCCCAACCATAAAACTCCAATTGGCAAGGTTTATATAAACGCCCTGTTTTTTCAGATTAAACTGAAGGGGTTGTTTATGGCATCGGGCTTACCATACATAGATCTTATAATATCTAAAACTTTGAACAATCCAATGTGTCCAATTTATTGATGATGACTATTCATGGTTAATTTAACCATTTATCTCCCACGTCAAAAACGCCAAAAAAAAACGTCGATCTTCAGCTTTCCAAGCGTCGTGCAGTTGCAGTCCGGAGTGTCCCCTGAAGAGCACCTTAGTTGGAAGTTGCTCGGCCGGCGATAAAATGGGATGAAGCTACCCATCTGAATCCGTTGGTTGGGATCATCACAACTGTATTCACCTGCGATATATGTGATATCTATATTTTATAATGGTATATCAATATATTAAATTATATGTTACATATTACATATTATATATATATATATTGTATATACATATATAATAATAATAATAGTAATAATAATAGTAATAATAATAACAATAATACATTATATAAAAATGTGTATATATGTATCAACTAGAAACTAGCAGAAGCATCGAAATCATCCCAGCTGTGGTCTGGAAAAATCAACTAGTAGAAGCTAGCTGTGAATCCAGTGGAATAGACTTGCCTGTTGAGTAGTGCCAGAGACGTTGAATCAATTGAATGCTGCATGTTTCAAGCCATGAAATTTATGGATCAATTTTTAGGTCGTTTGACTTCACTAGAAATGGTGAAATGCAGAGCGATCTCATCAGTTTGTTGTTTCACCCTGTCCTGCCGAAATTTCCCGGAACAACATGTACACAGAACATTGACAAATGCACACACACGCACACACACACATATATATATACACACATACACACACATATATATATATATATACATTCGCAGTTTGTCTATCTGTCCATCCATCTACATCTCATGAGCCAAAACAAAGACTGCAACAGCTGAGGCAAGCGGCATAGTCAGCACAGCCATCTTGCGCGTAGCTGCAGGTGTGGGAGATGGGTCTCACTCCTGGCAGCCAAGAAATCGCCATCCCAGGTACAGAAATCGCCATCCCAGGTACAGAACTCATCAGAAATCTTGAGGGGTTCTTAACTTGGGTTGCTATGGGATTGCTATGTGATTTTTTACACAAAATCCCATCCGTCTTTACCCCAAATTTAGACCAAGAACCCACACAAGTTCCATAATTTCATAAACCCCGCTCCTGGATGCCTGGCATGCAAGGCGGAAGCGAAGCCTTGTTCGAAGGCCATGGTCACGGGACGGTTCACCATCTCAGGCCTGACCCGGGGTCCCGACTGGATTTGGACAGGCGAAAACGGAGTCTTTTTACATGATATCATGATAAAGATTGATAATCCTCAAAATATGACTGGATACATGATATGATGTTTATGAATGTTGATGCGTTTTTTTGTTAAATGTATATCAAGTAAAAACATGACTAAATGTGTGTATATATATCTTTTAATATTAACTATTGAAGAAATGTGTGTGTGTGTTTGTGCATGTGCGGTTTTCTGTTTATGTGCTGAGTTTTGGCTGTAAGCAATTGTAACCTGAACATCTTCTGTGGCCATTGTACCGGAGATCACTGGTTCCACGTGCTCAAACGCAGAATGTTAAAATCACCTGCTGCATCATCACTCAAACATGTAAACAACAAAGATCACATTGGAACAAAACACTTCATAAACTTCAGTACTGACGATCATGGTCGGACTGGTCGGACTGGGCTCTTGCTGTCACTGCAGGTGACCGGCGAGAAGGACTGATAAACAAGTAATTATACCTATACACATATATAATCATATGTAGATATGTACATATAACAAGTTTGACTGGGTAGTCATTTCCTTGTATATCTTGTATTGATGAACAGCCGACCAAAAGCCTGGATTTAAATGGACTTAATGGGCCTCTTCCTTTTGGGCCCCCTTTCGGTTTTGTGTGTCCGAGCGGCGGATAGGGGCCGGATGGTTCCCGCTCCAAGTGGTCTGAATTAATGTCCTTGGATGGGCGCTGCAAACACACGTGTAAAAAATAGTGAGCATATATGTGTATGAAATTTATCAAAAGTGGTATCTCTTAACCTGAAACCATAACATTCTTAAACCATCCATGTGTTGATATAAACATTGTTAAACCATCATAAGGCAACCATTTCTTGTGGAGTCGATCATTTTCACCCAGGCACTGCACATAGAAACACAGCGTCACAGCATTGCGCAGCGAGAAGCCGATGAAGTACCTGGCAGGGTTTTCTGCGGTTTCCATTCCCATTCCAATCATTCCACCATTTGAAGATGCCTATCAGAGTCTATAGTAACTGTGTTTGTGCATCATAAAAACAATAATCAGCATCATCATCATCATCACCATCATCATCATTATCTCATCGCCGTCATCATCATCATCATCATCATCATCCAGCACAGTCTTACAACATGTTACAACATGTATCTATGAATTAACGATAAAAAACAAGGTCATTCCCTACTCATTTGGGATTCAGGGGCATGCGACAGGAACATCTGAAAAACTGTTCAACAAGAAACATATATCTTCAACTAATATGGACAAACAAATTTGATGGTGACTCAAATCCAACAAATGCATACAAATGCATGTTACAAAGGCAGCAGCTGTTTTTTTTTAACATTCATGCGTTGCAAAATAAAATTATGACATTTCGCCTAAGTGGATCTCTATATCTGCCTGGCCACTTCACATGCGTAGCCATATACCCTCTGGTTAACGTAGCTATGAGAAATCACTATTTTAAATAAGTAAATAAATCATAAAATGTTCATCGTCTATAAATGCGCCATGGCTTCCATAGCTACGTTCGTCAAAACCGTTACGGGTAACTTATAACTAAGCTATCTGCCACGCCGCTGCCGTGCTCCAGGTACATCCTCGCCTGTTCCATCTGCCGAGGACGACAAAATGGAATGTCATGGCCTTAGTGGTCTCGTCATAGGATCCCAGAATCCCATCACAGTGATACCCTCTGGTTATGTCAAACAGTTTGCTATTGATGCCATGGCCCAGTCAAAATAGTGAGTTTTCCCATGAATAGCATGGGTGGATCTTCCATAGTTATGTAAACGTTTACCAGAGTGATAGATGTGGATATTTAATACTGTTGTTTATAGTATGCGAATATATACCCAACAAAAATATTCCCGTAAAATGGTCAGTTTCGGTATCATTACTATCATTATCATGTACAATCAGTTGCAGCTGCCAATGGTGATGTTGGGCTCTGAAGCAGAAGGAAAGTGCGGAATGACAGCCCTGCATCCCAGCAGCTATTGTCAGCATGCGCAACGGTCAAGTGGGTATTGGCCACCAGTATCCTGGTTCGCAGTTCGCCAAGACTTGAACCCAGGTCATGACAATTTTCTTTAAAAATCAGCCACCCTCTAAATTTCCTAATTGTTATATACATTATCCATACATTTGCTGGCATGTTTCCACCATTTACATCATGAACGAAACCATGATGAACAAAACAAAGGTTTCGTTCATGATGTTCATGGTGAATGCCAAAAGCAAAGATGTTAAACACAGCAACTCCAGTGCAGCTTCAAGGGATGGATGCCACTTCACATGACTCGACTGCACCTTGTTTCGAAACCAAGTATAGGTTTCTTCATTTAAAATTGTGAATGCACATGTGTTCATGCATTTCAATCACATTATATAAGATATAAGTGTCTATCATAGAAGCAACAACACATTATTACATAACGTATGTGTTTCCAGGGCTTTTCAAAGGATTTGCCCCACCACACTGCCCACATCTTCGCGCAGGCACGGGATGCCAGGTGAACGTGAATTGAAATGACAATGTTAAGTCTTACATAAAGTATGGACATAGAAGTTTGAGTATCCGTACCAGATTATACTACATTCATGCACATATATCTTTATATACATTCTATACATGAAGCACTCCCACTTTCCTCCCACGTTCACGTGTGACCTGCAGCCACTGTCCACATGTGTGAGCTTGGCATACATGGCGACTCGATCCTCAGCTGGCCATGGGGACATACCACCAAAATTGCATGTGTTTAAACAAAATGGAAGACAAAACAGTAGATCTAGGGATACTACAGTTTCAAACAAACAGAAATATGTTGGAACTATCATTTCCTCACCCTTTTGGGGGGTTTCACGCTCTGCATGTGCAGCTGAAAACTGTCAAGGAACACAAAAATCGGGTTCCAATTCTTCACACAAAACCTGGCGCCGGCAGAACTGCAGAAACACACGGCAAGAAACAACAAAGAATAACGTCAAACCGAATTGCACCTCTCTCCCTCATTATGAGAAATACATGTTGTACATACATGCAATACGTGTAATATACCTATCGGAATTACCAATTTAGAGACCATTGTCCTACTATGTCAGTTGCTTTTTGTTTTTAATTGAGTCATACTTCTCAATGGACAGTACCTAACTGGGCTTGGTTTGGAAAGCTTTTGGGCCAGTATTCGGGGGCAACCCATGGTTGCTTTGGAACTACTCCCTCTTTAGGCAGGAACCACCTGAATTATCTGCCCACATATTTGATTTGTCATGTAGGAATCTTAATGGTGTGTATTTCAAAGAACAATACTATGATATAGTCATGTTGGAAAATCAATCATCAACATCATCCACTAAGGAGCGAACAACGAAGATATTGAAGTCAACAGCCAAGGCAAACCTTACACATCAAAACCATCTAGTCATTAGTCATGCATGCAGGAATATATACCATCCATATATGGCAAGTGGTGTTGGCACGTCTAAGGGGGACCATTTCTCATGGCTGAGTGTATGTACCATGCACATCTATGCACAACAAACCAGTGTGACTTTTACATGGATAGCCCGTAGCCCTCCCCCAAAAACAACACAAAAATCAATCCATAAACTAACCTGGTTGGTGGTTTTAACCATCTTGAAAAATATGAAAGTCAATGGGAAGGATTATCCCATATACTATGGAAAATAGCCACCAAGCAGACTAACATAACTGAAGCTTCGAGAAAACTACCATGGATTTACATGGCGGACCATCAACCAGTCGGTTTATCATGGCGTACCCAGATCTACAGCTTAAATCTGACTGTGCTGCACACAAAATGCATATCTATATCTATATCTATATCTACATCTATATACATACATGTGTATAGTCATATATGTGTGTGTGAGTCTATATATATACAAATACAGATATTACAGTATGTATATATTGTTGGTTGCTGGTAGTTGTACCCGGCATAAAAGTCTACCCCAGAAGCTCAATCCCCGAACGGCTGTAAAGTGCATGCCTCCACGTTGGTGTTTGAAACCTGTTTGTGACATTAAACCTCCTGTTAGTTTAATGGTATCTTAACATATCTTAACAACTATCGACCCATATAACCAGTTTCCAATCAGTTGCCAGCCCGGGGGGGTGAACCACCAGCCTTACCCAGCTCTCAGTTTTTTGCGCCCGAAAAGCGCCTCTATATCTTTGAAGGCACTGCGTCGGATCAGCATCGCCAAGCCTTCGTTTTTGTCGCCCGTTCCTGCGGCCACCAGCGGCAAAACCCCTGGGTGTTTGGGGAAGATGGCTGCGATGGAGGACAAATTGCAACAGCACTTGTGACCCTCATACAAAAAATGAAGGGGGTTGGCCAAGGGTGAGCCACGCGTACAGTATGTATATTGAAAAAAATACATTATATTTGCATAATTTTGCATAAACCAGTAACCCACCGGGAATCGATCCGCCAATGAACACAAAACATTGGGCAATTCAGTGTTTCTCTGATAGAGAAAAAATAAATAAAGCTATAAATAGATATATTTATTTATTCATTTAGTAATATATGTGATTATTATACATATTATATATATATACGGAGTTCATTTGTGTCATCTTCCCACAACTGGACTATTGAATCTCGTTGGGTTTTACCCACATTGACAAAAACATGGGTCAAACGTACCTAACGTGAGAGAAACACCAACAAAACCAGTTCGGTAGAAGCACCAACAAATGGCTACATTCTAACGGTGGACTCACATGTTTGGAATATTGCCGACGGTTGCCCTGCAATGAAGTAACAACGGTTGCAGATCATTTGGGAATCCCAGGACTTCATTTTGGCTTACTGGAAAGTAACATCACAACTTTTAGTCCATTGTTAGGTATACAAATATGTCCTATGAAAAACCACATGCTTTTGATTCCATCCTCATTGTTCAAAGCATAATCCATGATATCACAGCTTTTGTTGGCTAAACATCCATCTTTTGTTGGATAAACCCCTGGGTTTAGATCACTTGTTGTTTCCCTCCCACGAAACAACAAGCGTCTTTGCTTCATGTGCAGCTCGTATACTTCACCCAACTTCTTCCTCGGCGACGCGAAGCATGATTCCCTCCAGAAGGAAATACATGCAAATATGGAAAAATCATTGTTTTCTCCAAGGTTTGAATGTTGTACAGGTGGGTCTCACATATCTATTTATCTAGTTTTCTTTCTTTCTATCCATCAATCCAGCCATCCATCGATCTATCTATTATCTATCCATCTATCCATCTATCCATCTGTCTATCTATCTATCCATCTGTCTATCTGTCTATCTATCTACCTATCTACCTATCTACCTATCTAACTATCTACCTATTTTTGTATCTATCTATCTATCTATCGATCGATCCATCCATCCATCCATCCATCCATTTATCTATCCATCTAGCTAACTATCTATCTAATCTAGCTGTGTATCTATCTATCTAATCTAATCTAATCTAATCTAGCTGTGAATCTATCTATCTAATCTATCTATCTATCTATCTATCTACCTACCTACGTAGCTGTCTGTCTGTCTCTGTCTGCCTCTGTCTGTCTCTGTCTGTCTCTGTCTGTCTCTGTCTGTCTCTGTCTGTCTCTGTCTATCTATCTTTGTATCTTTGTATATATCTATATTGCGTTCTTTGTTTATGTTGTTATCTGTCTTTCTTTCTTTCCATCAATCTCTCTATCTATACGCATGATTGCACATGAAATATAATGTTGGTTTACTCGAGAGTAAACGCGCATGATGAAAAACAACATATTCTGAGGTGATCCAAGGCAACTGGCGCCAAGCCATGGATGATTTCCAAATGGTAAGACACAAAAGAGCCCAAAATAGCATTGATAAATTAGCATGTCTGATACTGTAATTAAATGATACTTACATTGTGATTAGCATAGTTTAATTAATCAATGTTTAGTTCAACCAACATTTCCGCAGTCAATATTACCATAATGAACTTGATTTGATAATTTTAACACTATTTTTTGGACAACTAGCTGTGTAGCTTTCGCTTCCATGTCAAGGGCTCATGGAGGAAACTACGCCGGACCCAGGCCTCTTGTCATGAAGATCCCACATAAGCCCACTACCATCACCCTGAGCTAAGCATCCATCCGACACCATGCTTTGCCCAAGAAACGATGTCAGACATGTTCCATATCTTTGGTATAATTTACTGGACAGTAAGAGCCATTCAGAAAACTCCAGAAACCCTTCAGAAAAGCCGGGTGTCTGATACAACTCCGCGAATCCGTGCGTTCCAGCTGCGAAGTCAAACTCCTGCAGGCAAATCACGTCCTGAATGCCGTGCATTGCTGAACGTTGATGCCCTGCCCATCCCCTCCATCGCTAAACAAAGGTTGATCCCAGTTGGGAGGGCGTGTGAAAAAATGCTAACCGAAGGGGCAAACAAATATCACTACCCTCTGGTAAACTAACATAGCTATTAAACATGAACCATTTATAGGTGATTTACCCATTAAAAAAATGATGTTCCATAGTTATATTGGTTTACCAAAGGGTAGGCTTTTGTCACTATTTTGCCAGACACAACGCCAACCACAACGTCCAGTTTCGCCAAGGAGCTGCCTCCAGCTGCAGCAAGCAATCGCAAATGGCGGCGTGGCGCTCCTGGGAAGAAATTGCCACGCGACCTGTGATGAGTTGCATTTATAGCATCGGATAGCCACTGCCAAAAAGATAGAAAAACAAAAAAAACATAAATCATGAAATCCCACTCACAAATAAATGAATGAATTACTGTACTTTTCAATTTATTTGGGCGTTACTATATAATATATATGTATATATATATATATATATATCCTACTATTGGTGTTGGCGGCTTAAGAATGTTTACTTCGATCCCTTGTTCTGCATCATATTGCCTGGATCAACTGCTTGATGATGGTCAAGACCCAACATATTCCCACTTCTTGTGGCTTTCTCTGAGCTTTACATGTCGATATCATCGATGCCATGAGTTGAACATGGAATGAGCACATTGGTTAAAACTGGTTAATACTCGGAACATCCCCATTGGAAGCAAAGAATCAATTGTTGATGGGCATATAGAGGGTCACATATAGGCACATGGTATGAGGCACCCGTACTTTTGAAGTAAAAACTATAGTGATTTGAAACATCCTCATGCATATAGCCTGCCATGCAAGAAGTCCGTCTCACCATGAATGTGGTGGTTTTGAACTGAACGGCAAAGAGCTTGGATAAAACCTTCTCATGACCCAGTGAAACCAGTGCTTCATTAGGGCTACATCACAACCACTAATGACCGAGTCCTTAATTTCAAGCTGCATATGGGCTGACTTTGCAACGCCAAAGAAACTATCAACAAAATCAGCGCATGGCCGGACTGTTGATTCACGAGTCATATATATTCCATAACCATTGCCGGTCCCCCACATTGACTGGTTCAAATATGTTTAAATCACTGTTTCCAACCTCCCCGCCCAACGGCAACGGTAACCACTCCTGCCAGGGTCTTCGATTCAACGGCGCGCAAATCCGCGCCGAGGGCGCCAGCACGTTGAAGCTGCAGAAACGCAACGCCATGGGACACGTTTCGGACGCGTTTCGGACACACGTTGCGTGTTGCGGATCTGATGGAATGGTCCGACGTGAGCCCTGAAGGGGGCAAAAGAAGAGAATCTATACTATATGATTTCAGTCTTTCTAGCAAAGTAATTACCTATATTCTCAAACTCTCACAGCTGTAAAATCTTTTGAAAAATAGCATCTTGGGCACTTGGGGGATGATTTTTTTTAAAGAAAGGCGGGATCGGCAGCTTCAGTGTGGATTCTTTACGCGGCCATTGCCGCAGCGAGGACCTCTTGCAAGCTGCTCACAGGATAATCAGAATAGCTGAGCTCAATGGGTTCCATTCCAAAAAAAAACACAATACAAATATGATCTGGCAAACCCAATTGATCAATTGTGTATGGTAAACCATCCAATTTTTAGCAAAGCCATCCATTGGTTTGTCCTCTTGGTTGCCAACTATCATGCAAGCTCTTGGGGATCTGGAACGTTGGTCATCTGCTTTCATGCCTGTTGGCTGCGGCAGAACAATGCTTCGGATTCCAACGTTTCGGCAGCAGGAACCCCTGGCTTTTTCGTAGACTTCTCTGTGAAATCATGGGGGACGCCTTTTTCCTTATCACAGCCAATCCATTGGTTCAACAAGTTACTATGAGCCTTAAGCCTTGGCCTGATTCACTTTTCCCCATCATTTTCGGGCGGTTTTTGGTATTTTACGTAGAGGGCCAGGACCTGGCTGATTGTGATTTTCTACAGGGGGTCTCAGCCCCATTTTACCACGATTGGGGTTGGTTAATGTTGGTTGATGTTAGTTGATTGATTCTTGCCCATGTCAGCCAACTGGTCAACTCCAGTTCAAGCTGGCCCATTCTACTTTGGGTCATCCTAGTCCACCTTTTGGGTGATGAATTTCCATATTTTTTAAACGTAAAATCAACTCAAGATCAAACATATCTATCAAATTGCTGGTTACATCTATTGTTTTCACCGGGGAAGTAAAACCCTGAAAAAAGATGTAGTGATTCATCAACCTGAAATAGCCGGCATTTCTTGGGATAGTCAAAAGTGACGCTGCGCATCGCAACATCGCAACATCATCATACATCATCCATCCGGAAAATTCCAAAATCCCAATGGTTTCTGCCCGCCTTCTGATCCGCCTTCCAGCGTTCCGAGTTGTTCAAGAGCTTCAGCTTCAAGCGGCCCTGGACAGCGGTTTTCCTAATCTTGTATTTGTGAGTTATATGTCGATATATATATATATATATATATATAGATATACATATAGATAGATATAGATATAGATATATAATCATGTTTCTCGTTGTTGTGCTATATAATCAATGTTTAATACAGTTATATAATTAATAATATATTTGTTCTCACAGACTAATGAGTGCATTATTAGCATTATAGCAAAGGCGCAGACAAAGGGTACGCTGACACCTCAGAGTAGTGATGACATGCAATTTCATCCCACTTCTAGTTGATGCTATAGCGCAATATAGTAGCGGATGCTTTGCTGCTTAATGATGTCATAGTGAAAACCGAGTGAAAACAGTGTGCAAAATATCCTGGTCCAAACTTTCTGTTTACTTATATATAATGATTGCCGCTCAGGATAGCCCTTTTTCTAGCTTGAACCCCTTCCATTACCTTGTTTTGATTCGGAAAATCATCTACCGATACCGTTTAATCGTGTACCGCCTTAGATCCCCAACCAGCATACGAATCATTCAACTTGAATGGGTGTAAGTCCAAACAAGTTTGGAAGGTAATAGGTCCAAATGTCTGCTGGTTAAATTCAACAAAACACTGACAAAACATGGTAAATGGTAAGGTCACCATTTGTACACATGAACATTCTGAAAAATGCATTAAAGTTTGGTTACAGTGCCCATTGAAATGGTGTGAAATCATGTCGGATCCTTAGGTTTGTTGCTGCAAAATATCCATCGAATATCCATATTTCTGATGGCTCCCGAATATCTCGCTGTCCCGATTTTTTTTGATCCCGAAAAAAAATGTTGACCCCTATCCCAAGATCTCAGGCGGTCGTCGCCTGCCCTTCCTTCTCACCCAGGGAGGGCCGTGGGGCCAAGACGGCGCCCAAGAGCATCAGCCTTGGGTGGCGTGAAAATCGGATCAGCGAATTGAGATTGGATGAGGTTAGTTAAATCAAAGTGACTGCAGTGGATTTATCTTCAAGGTATAGTTGTTTCTCCCTAGTTTTCTGTAAAATTTACTTGGAAGTCCTAATTTGGCAATGATCGGCATCTTTAGTGGATATGTTTCCCTGAGACTCCAAGGTCCAAGATATCCTGTACGCCAAATCTGAGATGTCAGATTTCCCAAAATAGATCCAAATTGGTGACCACACATGTGTGCAATGTGAGGATTGATGTATCTAGTCTGGTCGGTTGGTTGGCTTTGTTGGTGGGATCTAGTTCAATAAAATATGTTTATTCAATCTGATATTGGAATAGACATCATACCATTCATTGAATATAAAAATGCCTTATTTGTTGGTGGGATCTATTTCCATTTCATTGGAATCATGTTTCCAACTAATGGTTAAACAACTGCGCATTCAAATCAATAATGTTCTGAAACATGAATATCCCGAGGTTCCCTTACGAATCTGGAAGCTACCTTAAAAGGATTCCGAAAATGGACCATGTCACTGACCATCTTCGAATATGGATGGGAATTACTATGAGTTCAAGGCGTGTGCTGCATCATACTCTTCCAGCATTCCCGGGTGCTCTCCGATATTCACTGGGTCAGAACACTTCTTTGGGCAGTTCGTTGGATCACATCCACTGCCTTACTGCCTCCAAGGGCACAAAGGCTACATAGGCTAGCGCTTTCCACGAAGCTCTTAGCCACCACGTGGCTAAGGGGTAGCGGGCTCCTGTAGGTGCCTCGCTCATCCCCAAGACAATTTTGAATACGAATTCCACGTTTCCTGCGAGGGTTGTGTGATGATTAGCGGGAAAGTTACTCATTTGGTCGTCGTTATGCATCCAAATGATTTTTCCACGCGTTTCTCTGAACTTGACAGTGGGTTCTGCCATGGATGCAAATCCCTGAGTGTTGATGATCGCCTTTGCGTAGTTAGTGCCAGTTTGTATCCATGATTGCGGTTTATGTGTTCAGTTTTGGTGCATCTCAATCACTTATTGATAGTATAGCTACTCAACGTATAGTATACTAGTACCCGTTTAATGCCATTAACTATATGTATTGGCGAAATTCCCTTGCAAAGGCACTACATTGACCTCATGTTAGGTAATGTGACAAACCACGTTTAGGACATGCCACATTGCATAAGCTGAAACAATGGGGGATGGTTTAAAGTTTGGTCTACCTCATTCCTAACCCTAACCTCTTTAAACAATGAACAAAATAACCAATTTAGGTTGGTTGTAACCAACGACTATACATGTCCAAACAATATCAAACAATGGAAGTACTGGATCAGCGCCAGCGGCCGCGCTGCAGTGCAATTTGGCCCCCTTAATTGGTAAGGAAACCTCCAGTATAGATTGACTATATGGAGGATATATGAACGTATATGATAAACATCATCAATACATATCAATACCGTAAACGCAATCATTCAACGGAAAGTTGTTCCTTACCAATCTCTTCCACACATTGTCCACAGAACATACGCCGCTCTACTCGGACCCTTGGACCCTTGGACCCGGACCCACCCCCGAGGCAGTTGAAACTGGCCACCATGGCCCAGTGGTGCCACACGAGCACCCCCAAGCCACTCAACCTGGCCACACGGCGATGAATCAATGGATAAAAAACGGGTGGCCAATTAAAAACACATATCTCTGTTTTTGGAATTGGAGGATTGGCACCAAAGAAACATATCTTGATGAAATTTAATTATATATAATAAGATTATGTAAATATGCAATGAATATCTTATCACGGCTAGAGTTACACCCAAGATCACCCACATACGTGATGTTTTTGATTTGTTTAAATCCCTTGCCCAAAAAAAAGGAAACAACACACAACTACCACTCGTTGGAACTAAAAATGCAAAACACTAACAACACTTCCCGTGCCATCGAATACCCATTCAATGCCTATAAATACCTATAAAACACCCAAATCACCACTTGGTTTGCCCCCACTATGGCCCATCATCCTGCTTACCCTTTGAACTGGAAAGGCAAAGCTGTGGGCGAAGACTGCGGTGCGAAACATTAATGACACGTTGTGGGGGTACTTAAGAATGTCCTTTGAATAGCGGTACGAAGATGAGAAGGGTAAACATATATCACATATTGTAGAAAAACTAACTTGGAGCCAACCTTTGAAACAACCATGCTCCAGCGGCACATGATGCCCTAGAGTGAGAATCATGTCCCAGAAAACTTCCACGAAGCCATCTCTAGGCATACGGCCTGTTGCTATGGGCCAAAAATGGCAAAAGCACCGGCCATATTAGGTTGGAAAGAACATGTTTGAACACTTTCATAGATATAAACGATAGTAATTCCAATTCAATGGTTCCGTGAAAATGCCAAACACAGGAGATTTGGCTGCCTCGAAGTTTGGCATGTTCAATTGTGACTATTCATAACCCCGTCCAACTATAGATATACCCATCAATACCCACCATAAAGATCCATAACGATCCATAAAGTATAGTTCTTCCAAACCCATTTACCTATCGTTTGGGGGCCCCTGAAGGGGCATCTTCCCCTATCGCAGCCACCATCCCTGCCGAGGCAGGAACGCAAGCGCTGCACTCGCAGCAGTTTTGGCCTCCCCCGGGATGATGGGGATTACCCTCCAGTAAATTAATATAGACCCTGCCAGATAGGGGTTGGAACATGAGTTTCCACTAAAAATTGCTGATCTTCAGGGTTTATGTTATTTTACCAGAGGGTAAGTGACCATTGATGGGTCATTTTTTACAGACGCGACGCATCGCTACGCGCATTGTATGGCCTAAGGGTGGTCCAATCTGGTCCCAGGATCCCAT